TGTAGTAACATGGATTTCCATAATTCTTTTGGGCCCCAAGTACTGGGTCGATCACGGTCCCCCAAATCGATACTGCAGATATAGCCTGGGTATGCCTGGGTAGCTGAATGATTGCCAAAATCATCAAAGTCATCCTCATATTTGCTACATACCATACCTACATGGATTTCCATAATTCTTTTGGGCCCCAAGTACTGGGTCGATCACGGTCCCCCAAATCGATACTGCAGATATAGCCTGGGTATGCCTGGGTAGCTGAATGATTACCAAAATCATCAAATTCATCCTCATATTTGCTACATACCATACCTACATGGATTTCCATAATTCTTTTGGTTCCCAAGTACGGAAGTACTGGGTTAAAAGTAAGCCGGTATAACAATCAGGATGTGCAAATGAGAACATTCAGCCTAGCATCTACGCTCAGAAACTTGAGGAATGACATCGTGGTCTGGGCGCTCCACATGTGAGACTTGTTACCAGTTGTCTCGATGTGCATTGCTGGAGAAAACCTTTCTCGAAGCTGATTGAGGGTGCTGGGGGTCACCAAATCATCTGAGAGGGTAGTGAAAAGACGGGAAATGGCTCCATCCACCCAAGTCAGAGTGGTTGTACTTCTTGGGACCCGCCAGCGCTCAACAGCCCCTATGGAGCTGTACTGGTCTGTGTAGGCAGCTTTCGGCCCCTGGTAAATTGTCTTGTCTTCGCCGAGTTTCCTTGGGCCGACATCGGCAAGCATCCATGCAGTATGTATGTATGTCTGTCTGTCTGTATGTATGTATGTATGTATGTATGTATGTATGTGTGTAATGTATGTATGTATGCATGTATGTATGCATGCATGTAAGTATGCAAGTATGTAAGAAAGAAACTAAGACAAACATGCAATTAAGTCCAAGCGAGTATCTTAGACTAAGCAAGTAAGTTGTATGCTGTGGCTATGTCGTGTTTCCATAATTCTTTTTGGCACATTCAGTGAAGCTTAGACAAGAAGCACATTAAAAACAAATGACAACCAAGCTTCAGTGGAGCAAGACCCGCTTTGACACGTAGTTCCTGCATGAACTTGGCCTTCCTCGGTTGAAGATCTTCCAAGTTTCTTGCACCTGCAACTCCCTTCTTGTAAGCCACACGCTTCAACGGTTCGTACATCAATGTCCAGACTTGGTCAAAGTTTCCTATCAGTCTGGGATGGATTCTGCCAGTGCTTGTGGCATTGGAGATCCATTGCCTGATGGAAACAACCTGAGGGTTGTTGTACTCAAGATGTTTCTGTGGCTTTTCGTTTTTGTAGAAACCCCAGTGGAATCTGCAAGCAAAGCGACTAGCTAACTTCTCCAAGTTAGCCTTGCTCAAGTTGCAGGTGGCCTGAGGGGCCAATTTCAGATCCGCTTCACCTCCTTCAAGCTCAGCTTCTTTCATTGCTTCTTCAATCTCCTTGTTCACATCTTTCACCTGACGGTTGTACTCCTGCAAAACGTCCTGAATCAGATCGGCAATGCCAGCAGGGGAGACTTCCATGCCAAGCTGCAATTTGTCAAGCAAGATGCTGTCGCACATGTGCTGGAGGGCCACGGGGAAGGCTGCAGATGCCCGTCCCAACATACCCATTCCTAGATTTTTGCGAGCCCAGTTGGGAACCTTGTCAACTTTTGCGGCTTCTCTCGGGCAAGTTTCCACAAAGCTGTCCCACTTCTCGCGGACACGGGCCCCCAACCATTTTGTTTGTGACATCACCCCCTTGTAGCATCCTCCAGGGCACCAACCATTTCTATATTTGTTTTTTTCCCTGGGAGTGTGGCCAGTATTGGAACGAACACCTGTGAGACATCGAAAAAGCTATGTATCTATGTATGTATGCATGCATGCATGCATGCATGCATGTACGTTGTATTGTATATTGTGGCTATTTCCAAAATTCTTTTTGGTATGTTGGTGTGAACAAAAACATTCGTGACCCTGCGTTGGTCCCATCCTGGCAGTTTGAGTTCGTAGAACTTCTGCTGGCCCAGTGCTTTGCCATGCTCCTTGATCAACTGCTCATATTCCTTGCATGCGGCCAACTTCTTGGCAATGGAAATTGAGTCACCGCGCTTGTGCCTTTTTTTTGCTGGTTCATCTTTTGCTTCTCCTGCTTCTTCTCCCTCACCATCTGGCTTTGGTTCAAGCACGGCACGGGGAATCACCACAGGAGCATACTCGCAAGCTTGCTGCTTTCCTCTCAACCGTTTTTTTGCAGGGTTCTCAGCCACAGGTGGGCCTCCAGGGCAGGGAGCTGCGGAAGGATCTTGTTGGGCTAGCTGTTGGGCTGGCTGTGGTTGTACTGCAGGTAGATCTGTGGTTGACTTCTCAAGCTCAGCATCAACTTGACTCCGCTTTCTTGTTCTTCGGGCATGTTCACCATGGACTTGACGAGATCGAGGTGACTGACGCGAACCAGAAAAGAGCTGTGTCGGCTTGGCACCGTGGAAGGATTTCATAATGGGAGGCATCAACTTTGTTGCTTCTCGCTTTTCTGCAACCTCAAATCTTGCCTCCTCTTCATCCAAGAAATCTTCCAACCAGGTATCGACCATGGGTTTGTCATGTGGCACGTCCGTGGGCATGCCCCCAGCTGATTCAGTTGGAATCTCCGCCATGGATGGTGCTTCGGCACTGGTCACAACCTCATGCTTCACAATCTGAAAGGCAGGGGCAGCCTGCTGCAACGTCACGTCTGGAGAGGAGAGCCCCCGATGGAAAGAAGCTTTTCTCAATGATGAAGAGTCGCCATCTTCCACGCCATCTTCATCTCCAGGAACTTGTTGAGGAATCTTCGCTGAGTGGTGCCGCTGCGCGATAGAATACCAAGCACTGCAGCTAACCAAACTGGCAATGGTAGTAGCCAAAGCTACAGTTGTGCTGAAAGCATTGCCTGCCCGCAATCTGGCAGTAGAAGACTCAGACAAATCCTGCATGGCTTTGAAGGCTGCCCCTTTGTAGGACCAGTTCCAAATGCCCTGCAAGGCTAGATGTTCACTTCCTCTCAAGTACCTTTGCCGCTTCACCTTGGGCGCAGGTAAAATAAAAATATGATGGTTCATGGAGGAACCGAGGGAAACCAAGATGCTAACACAATTTCCATAATTATTTTTGTATTGATGAGTACAACTTCCAGGGTATTTTTCGATTGCAAGTCACAGAGAAGACCTTGTGGGTCGGTCGCAAGCAGGTCGCCATGCAGTTGCCTTTCTCCGGCTTCCGGCTAAGGGAAGTAGAGGAATCCACATACAGGTCCAACGATCCAAAAACGCCTTTCATCTCCTGAGTAACAGCGTCAATTTGCTGTTGGACTCGAGGTGGCAACGTGTCCTTCGGTAAGGTCTCAGCATTCGTGGTCAGATGCAAGAATCTATCCATTGGCCACCTGCATGGGAAAAGAAATATGGAAATTAGATGAAATTAGTGGCCCCAAAGTCGTGCTGTCTTTTCCCCATTGAGCTCAATGCAAGATTAAATACATATGTAGTTATGTACATGGCTATGTAATACTTCATTGGGGTTTTGTGGAAACATGTTGAAACCACACCTGGCAAAGGTTTCCATCATGGTCATTGCAGCGTCAAAGTCCTGGGTCATTCGCTCTGGACGCTGTTCACCCATAGATGCGACCCCGTAAACACGCTTTCTCCGCTGGGGGAGTAAGAACTTTGCAGTATCACACAGCCGCCATGTGAAGTGGCATCCCTGCAGTTCTAGGTCTTCCACGACGGTCTCGATTTCTGGTCGGTGTTTGGTCCCATGCTTGTCGGTTTTGTGGTTCGCAACATCCCGAACATTTTCATAAATGCTGACAAGTGCGCTAAGCCTTTCTCGAGCATCACGAAACCCTTGCTTGTAGGTCACCCCGCTCTGGCAGCCCTCACCCTCTTCATCGTCTTGAGCATAGCACCCCACAAAGCTTGAAGCACGTTCATTCCTTAGCTTGTTTTGACCAGTATTAGCATGTATTGGCCATGATGTCCTTTGCAAGTCCCACCCGACTTATTTATGTAGAGGCTTGCGTTTCCATAATTATTTTCTCCTCGGCAGTTTCTGTATGTACGTATATGTATCCAAGAATATAGGAACCACAGAAAAATAGTTCTGTCAAAAAACAGAAAACAGTTCCTCGTCTATGTAAGGCCAAAAAGGATCATTGAGCTCAAATTCACGCAAGATGTTCCCGCCACGAGCAGGTCGCAGGTTTCAAGTTCCACTTCCTAAGTTGCTTTTCATCCCCCAAGGAGCATGGGAGATCGTGGGAAATATTGGAATATGCGGTGTAAAATCGTGTCGTTTAGTGTCGCTGGTGGTTTTACAAAAGGAAGAGAGGGATGTAACACAATAATATATATATATACACATTTGGATACGGATAATCTGAATATCTACTACTATAGACTCAAAGCCGATCTAGAATCTACAGCAAACAAAATTGAATGCGCAAAGGAAAAGTTGAGGTTCCTTCCCATCCAGAACATTTGTGCCTCTGCCAGCTGCCACCTCAGCGACATCCTTGAAGAGGACTGCAACCTCCCCCAGCCGCTGGATGTGCTCCCGACAGTCTTCGTCAATATCACAAGCCAGGTAGGGGTGCACAGAAATGTCGCTCTGGAAACGCTCATTCAGAGCCCTGGTTTCGCGATGCACACTCAAGACCGCACATGGTGCGTGTGCGCGTGCGTGTGAAAAAAGGAATTATGGCAACACATGTATGTAATGTATATGTTCATGTAATGTATATGTTCATGTAATGTAATGTAATGTAATGTAATGTAATGTATGTATGCATGCATGGATGTATGTATGTATGTATGCATGTATGTACGTACGTATGTATGTATGTCTGTCTGTATGTATGTCTGTATGGATGGATGGATGGACGGATGGATGTAGGTACGACATGGATTTCCATAATTCTTTTGGTCTCCAAATACTGGGCCTTATGTTATGTATATTTCTCAAAGTTTCATTTTATGTTAGAAACGCCAACAGAAGTTGAATGTTTTCAGCTCTCGTAACCCCTGCCTGAAAACACTTTGGAGGATGCTAGGCATAGAGTCCACTCCAGAGCAGGTGGTGGCTAGACGGACCCTCGCCCCATGCAAGGCACATGCCACCAATCTGAGTCTATCTTGAAATGGCCCAGACAAAGCTTGCATGAAAGAGCGAGCTACCTGTAGTAGGTCTGGTTCTGGTAGAGAGTCCCCTTGAAAAAAAGCATCTGGATACGGGGTCCTTCTCAAGCTCGAAGCCGCATACTTCTGAAATTGGTGCTGAGACCGAGGCTTGGTCTTTCTGTCAGTGCTCCTGCCAGTACCGAGAGTCCTCACGAATGGCTCCACTTTGACAAATGGACGATAGGTGTGTGGGCTTCTGTTGGCACCAATTGGCACGCTAAATGCATACTTGGCTTCCAGTACGCCCATAGATATGGCAGGGACTGCCGGTCCCAGTGTCACTTTTCCACCAACCACATCTGGCTGGTTTGCCGCCACCAGAAATTCATTGGTGTCGCTGGGGAGCTCTCCATCAGGGATCACAATGCCAGAAAGCCCATTCAGCATCTTCTCCATCACAAACATGGAAGTTCGTAGGACATGAACAACAGGTTCTTGTTCAGGTTCTCGTGCAGGTCCACGCTCAGCAGCAGGTTGAAAGGAGGAATATGAAGATGATGCGGCACTGGATGCTGAGTCGTCCATGCTGCCAGGCTTGTCAAGGCTGATCCAAACTACGCATCCATTTGGTTGATCAAAGGATATGCTTGGGGAAATCTCAGTCACCTGGTCCAAAAGCCAGCCAAAGTTGTACTTCTTCAGGAGGGATGGATCATCCTTGACCATGTGCAAGTCCACAAATTTCCGTTTCCAAGCATCATCCACATCAAAACAATCCACCAAGTTCGCATGCCCACAAAGCTTGCCACGCCATCCCAACCCAATTTTGCCTCTGAAGTTCGCAGCCCTCGAGCGCAGCTCAACACGTTTTCCATGATGTAGTATCAAATCCAGCCACTTTTCCTGAATAAGCAAGATCTTTTTGATGCCGAATTCAGAAGCGATCTCCTCGTTACTTTTCACAGCTCCGGACTGGACACTACCTCCCAGGTAATCTTCAGAAAAAGGCCAATATTAAAACATGCACGGTATGGACATATATGGACATTGCAATGATCCTGCTATAGCTTGCAGAAAAAAATTATGGAAATCCCAGTCCACATACCAGGGTGTATCTTTATGTATGTATGTCTGTCTGTATGTCTGCTGATTTCCATATGTAGTTATTTTTTTTTGTGGCAGTCTCAAAGGATGTTTCATCCCCTCTTGGCCTTGGGATGGCTGGCGCGGGAAAGAATTTGATACAAGATCAAGCTTTTGATCTTGCTCCAGAGGTGGTGGAAAAATGGCAGGGCCAGTCTCATGCTCAATGTCAATCTCCGGCGCCAGCAATGTACACCCGGCATCATCTTGGATCAGCAAGTCATACTGGGCAATTCGCTTGGCTTCGTCAGTGAAGGCCGCAGAATGATACACTCGGAGCTTGACAGGCCGATCAGCAGGGCCATAAGTTCCATCCTGATGGATTTGAACACCCATTGAACTTGGAACTGCCTTGACTTCGCAGTGCATGAGCAGCCCCATGGCGCAACGGATGCGCATCTGGAGCAGATGCCCCACAAGCCAAAGATCATCAACTTTCATCTGCTGCCCGTTCCTCAATCCATGCTCAAGGGAGACGAGCTTTGCGTGCATGTCTGCACACAGGTTCTGATTCTGTGTGCGGAAGGCAGCCAGCCGGTCCAAGAATTCCAGCCGAAGAGCTTGAACATTTTCCAGCTCTTGCTTCCTCACGCCAAGTTCCACAGGCCACCCATAGGCTGTCCTCACTTGTCTGATTCGATCAGCATCCTGCGACCAGTACAAGGCGTGCCAGAAAGAGTCCGTTGTCTTGGGAGGCTGAATGATGGTGTAGTGAACTTTCTCACGGTTTCGCACACTCTCCTGAGATCGACAGCTGAATGACCATACCATGCAAGTTTGCATGTATGCATGTATGTATGCAATGTATACATGTATGCATATATGCATGTATGCATGTATGTATGTGTGTGCAGGTGCGACATGGATTTCCATATTTTTATTACACCTCTAATAGTGGGTCTTTTTTAGTACGTATAGTGATCTATATATACATAGATATAACTATGCCATGAGATTTCCATCTTTTTTGAAATCAAACCTGCCCATAGTTCAAAATCTAAGTTTCAGAGACAACCTCGTTGACCATCTCTGTCAGGCTAGTGGTCTTCTTCGCATCCGCATCTATAAACTCAAGGTTTTCCTCCTTGAGGCGCTTGCTCAAGAATGGCATGCTCACCCTTTGGAACTGGCTATCCCCTTGACGGTCAAAAACCCACAGATGATGTTTTGACGACTGCGGGTGTATGTCAGCCTGCATGATGATGTGTTGCTCTACCAGGTTCTCATCGAACTTTTGCAGCCATTGGCAGACAGTTTCTGGCGGCTTTTTGTCTCCCGATGCCCTCTCTCTCTCTTCAACGTAGTCAACCACAGCCACGCCCAAAACCTTGCTACCCTCAATCTCGGCTAGTTTGGTGGCTGCAGCCGATGAGAGCATATCCAAGGATGCACTTGCAATGGTGCAGTTTGCCCTCCAAGTGGCTTGGGCACCCTTCCCCTTCCACCACTTTCCAAGGAAAAGTGCAAATCTCTGCCTACCAGCTCCCTGGACACTGTTGACAATGGCCTTGAAACACCCACAATGGACGCGAACCTTTGCCTCCGGCAGTTTAGGCTGATGATCCTCCAAGTCTTTGCCCATGATGCCTTCCCAGATGTTGATGCCGTCATCAAAGCGAAAAGCTGCAACCGACGCTGGAGCCTGCAAGTCCGAGAAATGGTTTTATTTAGACCCAGATATATTTGAAACACACACACACACACCCACGCACGCACGCACGCACGCACGCACGCACGCACGCACGCACGCACACGCGCACACGCGCACACGTGTATGTATGTCTGTTTTGATGGACGGATATGGATATGGATATGGATATGGATATGGATATGGATGGATGGATGTAGGTCCGACATGGATTTCCATAATTCTTTTGGTCTCCAAATACTGGGTCTTGCCTTCTGATATATATATATACATATCATTCTCAAAGTGTTTAACGTCAGACATGCCAACAGAAGTTGAATGTTTTCAGCTTTCGTAACCCTGCGTGAAAACAGTATGATGTGTATATACGTATGCATGTATGGATGGATGGATGGATGCATGTGTGAATAAAGTCATCCCATGATTGATTGGTTTGTTTACTTCACACAGGATGTGCTGAGCTGTGTCAAGGGTTTTCCACCAGTTATTGTGGAAACGAAATTTTGGAAATGCAAGTTTGCTGCCTCTGGAAGATCGTGCTTGTCTTTCACAGAGTCGTAGCACTTCATGTCTCTAGTGCCAGCTGCAACCGCGGCTTTCAAACCACCCAAGGCTGCACGCAAGCCCCCTGTCTTTCGAAGGTGACACATAGATGAAAACCAAGATTCAGCTTTACCTCATTGGGGTGTTGGCCCCCAGCTGAAAAGCGCATTCAGTGAAGTGTAGTGAGCATAACCCCCCAACAAAACAATGTATATAAATGAACTCCACTCAGTTACTCTCAGTCGGAAAGATTTGGGAAATCTGGTTCTCTTTGCCATCAACATCGAAGTAACAAACAAAGGAACCATCCGACTGTGGGAAGACTCCTTCCTCGTTACGCTGCTTGGTTTCCCCAATCAGTGCCGTAGGCTCCTTTGTTTCCTCAGTCGGTGCCGTAGTTCCCTTGGTTTCCTCAATCGGTGCCGTAGGCCCCTTGGTTTCCTCAATCAATGCCTTCGCCGGTGTGGGTGCTGTAGGCTTTGAAGGCTGTGCTGCAGCACCATCCTTAACCAACCGAATGGTGGTGGCAGGCTTTAGTACTATATGATAAACAAGAATTTCCATAATTCTTTTGGGCCCCTAAGGGATGGATTGAACTGAAATCCAAAAGAGTGCCTCAGATACTGCATATTCAATAACAACATCAAAAAACACTTGGGAAGCGTGTCTCGGATAGATGGAAAATGATGGGGGCCCAACCAATACTCAATACTTACTATTCAGATATGTACAGATATCTCACTGGCATTCATGGTGGCTGTGGCGGTGAAGATGGTGGTGGTGTTTATTTCAATGGGTGCGACAGGTATTTCCATATTTTTTTTGGTCCCGTAGGGATGGGTTATAAATGACCCTTTTCAAGGATTCTTAGATTGTTAGGCAGCCAATTCCAACAAATGTGCTTGATAATGCTACATATGGGAAGTCATCAACCACTGTTATCTAGTTGGCAGTGGTGGTGGTAGTTACAGGGCGCAGTAATTCCTGCTTGTCCTTTGCAGTTTCTTTTAGTGGGTTATTACTTCATCTTCTAAAAATAGATCCAAAGTCACACCCACAGCAAAAACTCAAAGGACAAGAAGTGACTACTGGGTACGTACGGGCAGCAGCTGTTGCGGCGGCGTGGGATGGTGGTGGTGGTTGTGGATGGTTTTTTGCGTTTACTTCGCTAGGCTTCTAGGTATGATTTGGATTTCCATAATTCTTTTTGGTCTGTCAGGGGTGGCTTGAAAATGGTCTCCTACGGGATGTTTCATATTTTAACAACATCATCACTTCAAAAGAGAAGTAGGTTGGCAATCTGTGTCCTAAATGTTTGAACCCAACCAGTATTTTTCAGATACCTAGTTGGCACATGGTGGGATTTCCACTTGCCTTTCTCCCTTTTTGTGTGTACCTCTGCCATGCAGATAAAACAAGAATTTCCATACTTCTTTTGGGCCCCTAAGGATCCTAAGGGATGGATTGAACTGAAATCCAAAAGAGTGCCTCAGATACTGCATATTCAATAACAACATCAAAAAACACTTGGGAAGCGTGTCTCCGATGGATGGAAAATGATGGGGGCCCAACCAATACTCAATACTTACTATTCAGATATGTACAGATATCTCACTGGCATTCATGGTGGCTGTGGTGGTGAAGATGGTGGTGGTGTTTATTTCAATGGGTGCGACAGGTATTTCCATATTTTTTTTGGTCCCGTAGGGATGGGTTATAAATGACCCTTTTCAAGGATTCTTAGATTGTTAGGCAGCCAATTCCAACAAATGTGCTTGATAATGCTACATATGGGAAGTCATCAACCACTGTTATCTAGTTGGCAGTGGTGGTGGTAGTTACAGGGCGCAGTAATTCCTGCTTGTCCTTTGCAGTTTCTTTTAGTGGGTTATTACTTCATCTTCTAAAAATAGATCCAAAGTCACACCCACAGCAAAAACTCAAAGGACAAGAAGTGACTACTGGGTACGTACGGGCAGCAGCTGTTGCGGCGGCGTGGGATGGTGGTGGTGGTTGTGGATGGTTTTTTGCGTTTACTTCGCTAGGCTTCTAGGTATGATTTGGATTTCCATAATTCTTTTTGGTCTGTCAGGGGTGGCTTGAAAATGGTCTCCTACGGGATGTTTCATATTTTAACAACATCATCACTTCAAAAGAGAAGCAGGTTGGCAATCTGTCTCCTAAATGTTTGAACCCAGCCAGTATTTTTCAGATACCTAGTTGGCACATGGTGGGATTTCCACTTGCCTTTCTCCCTCTTTGTGGGTACCTACGCCATGCAGATAAAACAAGAATTTCCATACTTCTTTTGGGCCCCTAAGGATCCTAAGGGATGGATTGAACTGAAATCCAAAAGAGTGCCTCAGATACTGCATATTCAATAACAACATCAAAAAACACTTGGGAAGCGTGTCTCCGATGGATGGAAAATGATGGGGGCCCAACCAATACTCAATACTTACTATTCAGATATGTACAGATATCTCACTGGCATTCATGGTGGCTGTGGTGGTGAAGATGGTGGTGGTGTTTATTTCAATGGGTGCGACAGGTATTTCCATATTTTTTTGGGTCCCGTAGGGATGGGTTATAAATGACCCTTTTCAAGGATTCTTAGAATGTTAGGCAGCCAATTTCCAACAAATGTGCTTGATAATGCTACATATGGGAAGTCATCAACCACTGTTATCTAGTTGGCAGTGGTGGTGGTAGTTACAGGGCGCAGTAATTCCTGCTTGTCCTTTGCAGTTTCTTTTAGTGGGTTATTACTTCATCTTCTAAAAATGGATCCAAAGTCACACCCACAGCAAAAACTCAAAGGACAAGAAGTGACTACTGGGTACGTACGGGCAGCAGCTGTTGCGGCGGCGTGGGATGGTGGTGGTGGTTGTGGATGGTTTTTTGCGTTTACTTCGCTAGGCTTCTAGGTATGATTTGGATTTCCATAATTCTTTTTGGTCTGTCAGGGGTGGCTTGAAAATGGTCTCCTACGGGATGTTTCATATTTTAACAACATCATCACTTCAAAAGAGAAGTGGGTTGGCAATCTGTCTCCTAAATGTTTGAACCCAACCAGTATTTTTCAGATACCTAGTTGGCACATGGTGGGATTTCCACTTGCCTTTCTCCCTCTTTGTGGGTACCTACGCCATGCAGATAAAACAAGAATTTCCATACTTCTTTTGAGCCCCTAAGGATCTTAAGGGATGGATTGAACTGAAATCCAAAAGAGTGCCTCAGATACTGCATATTCAATAACAACATCAAAAAACACTTGGGAAGCGTGTCTCCGATGGATGGAAAATGATGGGGGCCCAACCAATACTATTCAGATATGTACAGATATCTCATTGGCATTCATGGTGGCTGTGGTGGTGAAGATGGTGGTGGTGTTTATTTCAATGGGTACGACAGGTATTTCCATATTTTTTTTGGTCCCGTAGGGTATGGGTTATAGCCTAGGATCAATTCCCTTGGTGAGTTCCGGCTCCACCACTGGTGATTTGCCTTCATAGATCACCTCTTCTAATGCATCCCTGTTTACCTTGTTCGATCGTTTGTTCTTCACACCATGCTCCTTTAAAAAGAGATCTCGTTCCTCTTTGTCTTGCTGGTAACACAGGAAATCAAAACGTTTCAGGTGCTGTTTGAGCAGTCCATCGAACTTCTTTGCAAGCTGGATCGCCTGGTGCTTTCCCCCGGATTTCGCAAAGGTCCAAGTTCGATGCCTTTGCAGTCTAGGCCCATGCGTCACATGCTTCGCAAACCTCAGAATGAAGATTTTGGCGCCCTGGAGAGACTGGCAGCCAACCGTGGCAGCTTACCCATATATATATATATTATAGCATATATCCATATTTTTACAACCCATATACTCATTTTAGCCTAGCTGTATACACGTACGAGTATGTTATACATATATATATATGTGTATATATAGATATGTATATATACATAGAGGCTTTACCAGTTCGCCTGCGTTTTCTATCTTCTATGTAGACATACGTTTTGCATGCATCCTTTCAGACATGGCCATGGCGACCAAAACAAAATTATGGAAATTCATGGGTTCACTTCCCTGTATGTACCAAACCCTGGTCCAAGAAGCACTCTGATGGCGTCATAACCCTCCACAGCAGCCCCTCCGAACCCCATTGCTCCGAGAAATTGGTGTTGGCTGGTGCCAGCTAATGTGGTCGCACACACAAAACTACCACTACCAGAACTACAGAGGTGCTTCTCTTGCCCCAATTGAAAAATATTTCACCAACATGACCAACATGCTTTCTATTCTATGAGTTTGTGCGAGTTTGTGCAAGCCTCAAAGTCGTCGTCTCTGAAGCTAGCTGGCTGGGCGGCAGGCAGGATTCAAAGTCGGTTTGGTTCCAAAATGCCCTAAAATATGGGCTGCTGGATGATAGTCCCAACCGACTTGGAAGGCCAGGTCAATTGAGTATTGAGCTGAATAGCCATATATACTGTAAGGCAAGGTTAACCGCCTATCTAGTTATACATGTCATATCATGTCATATCTATTCCATCTATATATCATATATCCACCTATCCATCTATCCACCTATCAACCTATCCATCTATGCATCTACCTACAGTCACCGACAGAATTATGGAAATGAAAAAAGGGACGCGCGCCGCAAGTAATCGAAACGGTTAATTTAGATTTAATTCCAAGATCATGCAAATACGCTGGAAACCAGGTGGTTTGAAGGATCAGGGTCCGAGAGCTGAATCTAGATTTAATCCCAAGATCATGCAAATAAACTGTAAACAAGGCGGTTTGGAGATGTTTGGAGGATAAGGACCCCAAAACTGAATCTGGATTTAGTCCCAAAATCATGCAAATTTCCTGTAAAACAGGTAGTTTGGAGGACCAGGATCCGATAAGTAAGATTTCCAAAATTAATTTTGCATCGTGGATTAGAGGCTTTTGTAGACATTTGTATACACTTGTTTCATCCTTTTTTTGAAGGATCAAGATCCGAAAACTGAATCTAGATTTACTGTAGTCCCAAGATCATGCAAATACGCTTCAAAGCAACTGGTTTGGAGGATCAGGGTCCGGAAGCTGAATCTAGATTTAGTCCCAAGATCATGCAAATAAACTGTAAACAAGGTGGTTTAGAGATGTTTGGTGGATCAGGATCCCAAAACTGAATCTGGATTTAGTCCCAAAATCATGCAAATTTGCTGTGGTTTGGAGGATAAGGGTCCCAAAACTGAATCTGGATTTTGTCCCAAAATCATGCAAAAACATTCAAAACTAGGTAGTTTGGAGGATCAGGATCCGATAAGTAAGATTTCCAAAATTAATTTTGCATCGTGGATTAGAGGCTTTTGTAGACATTTGTATACATTTGTTTCATCCTTTTTTTTGAAGGATCAAGATCCGAAAACTGAATCTAGATTTACTGTAGTCCCAAGATCATGCAAATACGCTGCAAAGCAACTGGTTTGGAGGATCAGGGTCCGAAAGCTGAATCTAGATTTAGTCCCAAGATCATGCAAATAAACTGTAAACAAGGTGGTTTAGAGATGTTTGGAGGATCAGGATCCCAAAATTGAATCTGGATTTAGTCCCAAAATCATGCAAATTTGCTGTGCTGTGGTTTGGAGGATAAGGGTCCCAAAACTGAATCTGGATTTTGTCCCAAAATCATGCAAAAACATTCAAAACTAGGTAGTTTGGAGGATCAGGATCCGATAAGTAAGATTTCCAAAATTAATTTTGCATCGTGGATTAGAGGCTTTTGTAGACATTTGTATACATGTGTTTCATCCTTTTTTTTGAAGGATCAAGATCCGAAAACTGAATCTAGATTTACTGTAGTCCCAAGATCATGCAAATACGCTGCAAAGCAACTGGTTTGGAGGATCAGGGTCCGGAAGCTGAATCTAGATTTAGTCCCAAGATCATGCAAATAAACTGTAAACAAGGTGGTTTAGAGATGTTTGGAGGATCAGGATCCCAAAATTGAATCTGGATTTAGTCCCAAAATCATGCAAACTTGCTGTGGTTTGGAGGATAAGGGTCCCAAAACTGAATCTGGATTTTGTCCCAAAATCATGCAAAAACATTCAAAACTAGGTAGTTTGGAGGATCAGGATCCGATAAGTAAGATTTCCAAAATTAATTTTGCATCGTGGATTAGAGGCTTTTGTAGACATTTGTATACATTGTTTCATCCTTTTTTTTGAAGGATCAAGATCCGAAAACTGAATCTAGATTTACTGTAGTCCCAAGATCATGCAAATACGCTGCAAAGCAACTGGTTTGGAGGATCAGGGTCCGGAAGCTGAATCTAGATTTAGTCCCAAGATCATGCAAATAAACTGTAAACAAGGTGGTTTAGAGATGTTTGGAGGATCAGGATCCCAAAATTGAATCTGGATTTAGTCCCAAAATCATGCAAATTTGCTGTGGTTTGGAGGATAAGGGTCCCAAAACTGAATCTGGATTTAGTCCCAAAATCATGCAAATACGCTGTAAAGCAGGTAGTTTGGAGGACCAGGATCCGATAAGTAAGATTTCCAAAATTAATTTCGCATCGTGGATTACAGGCTTTTGTAGACATTTGTCTCACTTGTTGTTTCTTTTTTAGAGGATCAGGATCTGAAAATTGCTATTTCCAAAATTCTTTTTTTTGAAAGTCCGTAATCTGGCAAATTTTTTGTCTTGGTTTCGGTCCCCAACCTTTTTCGCTAACTGCGGCGCCGAACCTTTTTTTCATTTCCATAATTCTGTCGGTGACTGTACTGGAAATATCATGGAAATTTATGCGTACTTATTTCCGATGATTTTCAGATTTCGATTGTACTTTCTCCATCTTTTTTGGCCAGGTTTGCGATGACTTTGCCAGAGTCCCAGGCTATTTCCTGGCGATAGCAACCCCCAAAGTCACATCCTGGTTGCACACTTGGCACAATTCCATCTTTCTGGGGACTCCTAGGGCCCCTACAATATACTACAGGATGGGTCCCCCCAGTGATGTGAACGTTGGTTTATAAACCATTATTAATCCCCATGAATACGAGTTCGTCATATCTACCATAAACCATAGAATTCAGCCACTTATAAGGGGGCCCCATCCTGTAGAATATACTACAATATACAGAAATATACTACATACATGTCAGCTTTCCTGATGATCCTGATGACAATGATCCCAAGGAAGTGCACCTTACAGAACGAGGATGGAGTTGCAACTGGGCCCCGAAAGGGGACCACACCTGGAGGGGTCAATTTGAGTATTCAAAACCCGCTTGGTTGATGATTTATAGTCATTTAATAGGTGGTTTGACCATCAGAATATGGTGAGATAAGTGGATATCACGGATAAATGATGGTTGATTGATGATATATTGATGATTATGGAAGATGATCCTACCGGAAATATCACCATCGATTATGGGACATCCTATTAACCAGCCAGTATGAAGGGATGTGAGTATTGTTTGGCATGTTTACGCAGTTGCTGTAAACATTTGGTGATTGCCGCTGTAAACATTTGGTGATTGGCATGTTTACGGGGTACCCCTAGTTCCAAGGGACTAGCGTCATGTTCTCATTGAAATGCCAATCAAGTTGGATGTACCTTTGTGGACAGGCTCAGGTCTCAACACTTTGACACATCCCAAGAATCTTCCCATAATTCAAAGGATTTTCCCACCTAAAATTTTCCAAGCATCGACCCAAAAAATCCAAACACATATTACTAGAAAAATCAACTAGAATCTCAAGAAACATCTTGGGAAAAAATCCCTCAGGGATGTTGGGAAAAGAGCTATCCGGGACACCAAACTCCAAGGATCTCTGTGAGGCCTGCGGGAAACCCCGGGCTGCGACCTCGGCCACCGCACCGGCGGCTGCACCGCCGTCGACTGCATCGAAAGGTGCCAAGGTGCGGTGCTTTGGCCCCGGCACCGGTGGAGGGTTGATCGGTTGGGATTGGTTGTTTAGGGATTTTCCCTGATTTTTTGGATTCGACCTATTTGTTGATTTGTTTGTGGTTTCCCTTGAAAATGAATGACACCGACACCTGCATTTTTTTGGAAATAGATTCTTCCTTGGGACCAAGGAAGAACCATTTGTTTTGTGTTTCTTATTAAAAGTCACAGGGGAGGAGGGAATGACAGATTCTTTTCAATGGACTTGTTTAGTGAGGGAACATTTGCAGAAAAACCCCTCAACAGGTAAGGGGAAGGCCCATCATTTCAGCATTGGCTCGGGTAGTGGCTAACCTAACTTAATGGGCTTCCGTTCCAGCCTTGAACCATACCACATTTTTTGCCAAGTTGGTTCTCTTTGGACCTATCCATTCTTGGGGTCCCTGCAGGAGGGGGTATTATTTGGGGATATGGAATTAACAAGCCTTATATATATATATATTAATATATACATATACAATCACACACACACATATATATATATATAATCGTATATATATATATACATAGATATGATAATCATTATCATGACCCACGACCCACGAATACAATATAGTTATATATAATTAGATATGATAATCATTTCATGTATATATATATATGCATATATATATATATCTATACACATTGTATATGTACAACACGTACACATGATCATCACATGTGTACAACATATATTATACATATATGCTATACTGAGCGTGATAGAGATACACATGGACCCATGGATATACACAACGGCCCGGAAATGCGGGCCATCGGTAGCCCTGGGATATGTTTTGACGTCGAAGGCGAAGAACCAGAAGCGCAGTGAAGCGTGGCAGGGAAGCCAAGTTGGTGGCATCTGCAGGGCTGTGGAAAAAGCAGCCACTTGAAATCTGGAAGTCATCAGGGTATCCATGCGAAATGATATAATACCATAAGTATATCATGTAGAATGTATCATACGCAAACAATCACCCAGATATTCAAATCGCCAATTTGGGGTCTCAACATTTGAGCCGTTTCAGCTCGAGCTGCCCTTCCCGCCTGCTGCGGCGTTTCAGTATCGGAGCGATGGTCCTGCGTTGCCCGAAGCAAAGATGTATTTTTTGTTGGCAAAAACCCATGGTATGACATGGGTAAAGCAATGTTTCATTTTCTCAATGGGAAATCCATTACTTGGGGAATTGAAAACGGGACTAACTCATACTACGTACATATATATATATGGTATATGTTCAAGCGTTGTTTATAAACTTCAAAATTGTGAAAAAGAATACATTACCATGGAGCAACAAATGTTGAACAGAATGAGAAAGGTGCAACAAACTGCACAGCAACAAAAAATATGACAGTCATTGGGGAGGGCCCCTTAGAGAAAAAGAAAAAACATTGAACAAACCAGAAAACAACAAAAAAACAAAACAAAAAAAAAACAAAAAAACAATATTCAGAAACTCTTTGGGGAGGGCTCCTTAGAGAAAAAGCAAAAAAACATTGGAAAAACAAAAAAACAAAACAACTAATATTTAGAGACTCTTTGGGGAGGGCCCCTATCCCAACACTTCTGGAATATTTTTTTTTTTGTTTTTTCCAATGTTTTTTTGCTTTTTCTCTAAGGGGCCCTCCCCAAAGAGTTTCTGAATATTGTTTTTTTTGTTTTTTTCAATGTTTTTTTGGTTTTTTCTCTAAGGGCCCCTCCCCAAAGAGTTTCTGAATATGTTTTTTTTTGTTTTTTTCAATGTTTTTTTGCTTTTTCTCTAAGGGGCCCTCCCCAAAGAGTTTCTGAATATTGTTTTTTTGGTTTTTTTCAATGTTTTTTTGTTTTTTCTCTAAGGGGCCCTCCCCAAAGAGTTTCTGAATATTGTTTTTTTTTGTTTTTTTCAATGTTTTTTTGTTTTTTCTCTAAGTCTTGCCATTTTCCTTTGGCTCCGCAACCTTAGGCCTGAGCCAGATCATGTTTTCAGCCCCTTTGACATCGACATGGACGTTCTTGAACCCCTCACCCTGAGCATCCTGTTTTGGGATGTGGTGATCGCCTCGTGGTGGCTGTTCGCCCGCGACCACACGCAAGAGGAGGAAATCGCCGCGGTGCTCGCCATCCCAGGTGGATGGCAGCTGACCGCTGTGGTCCACCTGGCATGGATCGGTGAAGAGGATGAAACACAAGACGGTGAGGATGGCGAGGAAGAAGATGACCCGGACGCAGAAGACCCAGAGCACCAGGGGCACCAGAGCCCGGACACTATGTCAGTGTTTGGGTCGTCCCTGGGGGACCCAGAGGAAGAGGCAGAGATGGTCGAAGTGACCGTTGAAGTCGAAGATGATCCAAGCCTAGAATCCGAACTGGCGGCAGAAGAGGTTGACTAACCAGCTTGTTTTTTTTCCGGGGCCCGGCATCTTGGCTCATAAAATGTCGCTTTCATCTTTCTCTCTCTGGTCTGTTCTGTTGGGGCATGTTTGTTCTGCCAACGTATCTTGAAACAAGCATGTTCGCCACAAGGTCGGAGAGTGAGATGTGGAACGATGAGAGTTTGAATGTGGCGGCCGAGACGCCACCTTTTTCACATGGCGTGTGGAGGCCTGGTGGGGGACCAACTACCCCGCCAGAGGCGTTCTTGCCTGGTACCCCGCCAGGACCTCTACCACCAGATACAGTGGCGCCGTTTACGCCACCTTATCCACCTCCCCGCACACCACCTCGGTGGTGGCTGGGAGGTGCGTGAGGCATACAGCTCGAGAAGAAAAATGAATAAGCAGCAGCGGTCTGTGCATGGTTTGAATGCTGTTTCATTGTTCGTTTCACTGCTCTTGCGAAATACAGGACTTAGCTTGCACTGAAAAACCAGAAAGCCAATAAAATTTTCAAATATAATAATAACACATATATTCAAACTCATCTGATCCCTACAGACACAACACCAAACCCAAAGCATCTGCTGCATTCAAACATGTCTGATCTCTGAAGCCCTGTCTGCTTTGCCGCCTTTTGTTTGGCCTTGTTCCTTGGATGCCTGTCTTCACTGCAGCCTTCTCTAGCTCTGTGCGTCCAATTGCTTGTCCAGCCCACATGGCGAATATGAGCACGGCCTTTGTGGACAGCTTCAACCCAGAGAACGGTGAAAAAGATGGGGCTATTACCTTCGATGAGGCAGTGGTCCATGTGAATGGCCTGAAACTCAATGGACCACTGACCAAGCCACTGAAATCGGACCGCACAGTAGGAGATGTGAATCTGGGTGACTTGCCTTTGAGGGACATGTTCGACACAGGTGGCAAGGTGGAACAATTCGCAGATGTGAACCTCAATGTCTCCTTGGACCCTACACAAACATTCTGGGACAACACCATTTACCGTCTGTGTGGTATTCAGAACTACCATCTGCCTGAAGTCCGAACCAAATGTCCCCTACAGCATGCAGATCATTGTCATCCCATCCACCATTCCCCCTGATGAAGATGGCAAGTATGTCAACATCGTGAAGTACGTCTACTTACACAAAAACAAATTGTGGTCTAAGGATTGCATGTCTCTCTGCCAAGGTGCTCCTTTGAAGTTTGATTGGGGGTGCCAGCCCCGGAATGGCTTGATGGCACTCAACCACATGTTAAATTTGAGAAGAAGCTCACCCTGGATCAGAGTGCGCGGGAAGAGGGCTACAAGTTCATCCGTGACTTTGGGCCCCGCTCCAACAATCGTAACCAGTTTATGGAATTGGCAGATGAGCAAGTCCATATGCCTGGTGGAAAGCTCGAAGGCTGGAACGAAGGAAAAGTACGGGAAGCCCTCAACAACCACTACAGAGGAAGACAAAACGCCAAGACATTGGAGTATTAACCGCTAGCCCGTGAGATTTTGGCATGATCGTCTGTCTAAAAGAGCGCTTACTTCGTTGCATCGTCGTGTCTTAACATGTCTTGCTTGACATTACTGTGTTTGTGATTTTCTTGTGAGCTGTGACGTCAGAGTACGAACCAAGATGTTTCAGTACATTCACTTTCCTTGCTGTACACCCTCACTGTGTCATTGCATAACTTTTGGGTTCACAATCTGGGTTGCTGACCTGCATCGGAGCCATGCCTGCGACGCGCGGCCCTCGTCCTTGTGCCCAAAAATGTGGAGGAAAGCCAGTCAAGAAAGGACATGCAAAAGCTAAGACCAAATTCAACTTCTTTCCTGATCCCAAAAAAGGTAAAGGAAGATGTGCGTTGAAGAGGCCTGCCAGGGCAAAGAGCAATGAGTGGAAGAAGGTGCCTTATGTGCGTGCCAAGGATGCTGTTCAAAAACAACGTATGGACCGAACAGCATGGAAACGGAAGCTCGCCGACTTACTTCAAGCCACTGATGCTCAGTTGATTCGTCTGCTTTGTGAAGATCGGCTTCTACATGATTGGACAGGCAAAACATGCCCTCGTTGTAGGCACCTTGTCAAAGCTTCAGCTCATGCTTGGCACAGGAATGCCTCGACATCGGTGCAGCCGCAAAGGCTGCCCGGCATATATCAACCCTCACCACCTACCTACATCCAATCTTCGTTGATGGAAGAGGTACCGGAGCCACTCCTCTGCAAACACAGTCTGCTTTGCTCTTTCTGTTGCTCAATGGCATCTCGCACCCTGCCATCCATCGCGTTCTCCACATCAACCACAAGGCCATTGAGGACATGGAGAACAGGCTGAGCCGTCTTCGCGAAGGCTGGGTTGAGGAGAAGGAGAAATCCATCGTCTTTGGCAATGGCAAGACTTGGACTGACGTTCAAGCAGATGAGGCTACTTTCACAAACACACACTTGAAAGATTTGGCCGACGACCCTGCACAGCCGATCATCTGGGAACAATGGTGCGGCATTGTTCAACGAGGTGCCCCACAGACCTTGGTTCTGACAAGGCTGACTCCCCAAACGTCTGCCCGGAGAGCGCCTGGTCCAGGCGCGATCCGGAAGGTGGAGTGGAAACCGCTTGCTACCAAGCACCTATGTGATCGCGCTGTCGTCCTTCACACAGATGCGGCCAAGTCGTACAAATTGAAGATGAGTGGTGTCCTGCGTGATCATGTCCGGCACTGCAAAAAGCGTGTCAAAGTCAAGGGCAAGTGGGTATGGAAATTGCCCACGTATGTTCGCATGACTACGCATAAGGATCCAAAGACTGATCGCAAATTCAAGATCAAAGGGGGTACGCAAATTGTCGACCGTGCCTGGCGTTTTCTCAAAGACAGGATTCATTTAAATCAACACAGCCGGGTGGGGACCCCTTTGCTGCGAGCGAAGATCCGCAGTGCTCAATACGAGTATTGGCACAGGAACGCGGATCTTTGGATCGCAAGTGGCACCCTTTGTGCCTGGCACATGGGCAAAACCCTTGCCTAATCTTCGTCTGGAGGTCTTGCAAAAAAAGAACCTGTGTCTCAAAATGCTGCTTTGCTGTCTAGCCACACTACAACACAAGTTACACAAACATGCATCATCTTCCCATACCTAAAGCATGCTTGTCTGCATTTCTTTGCCTGCCTGTCTACATTTCTCTGCCTTGCGCACACACACAAAACCAAAGGCATGAATTCATGAAAAAGTAGTTTTTTTTTTTTTGGGGGGTTAGCATATATATATATATATATACATATATATATATATACATATATATATACATATATATATATATACATATATATATATATACATATATATATATACACATTTTTTTTGGGGGGGCCTCCTCGGGCAAGTGTGATGACAATGGATGATATCTATCCCCCGAAAGCCGAGGCGTTTCCTCCGCCGCCACCGGTGATCCCCTGCTGACCTTTGACGACGACAGCGAGAGGCCGCAGACGGTGAGGGCCGTGAAGGCTCAGCTAACACAACGTCTGGGTTTCAACCGTTTCAGGTTGAAACTGTTGTGCGGACCAAGGGTGCCTGGGATGTTGATGGAGGCTGGGAAGAGGGTAGTAATCCACGTTTATCTTACGCATTGACAGGCACTATATATATATAATATATGGTATATGTATTGTATATACATTGTAGAACCCCCGTTTGGCTTAAGACGGCTTTTGCCGTTTTGGTGCAGGAGGGGGGGGGTATTGGTGCACGGCTGGTGCGCGGAAAAGGAAAATAAGGGCAAGGGTGGGTCTGGGCAGGGGAAAATAGGTGCGGGAGTGGGTTCTTGCCGATCTATGGATCCGGGCACCAATTTTTGCATTTTTGGGCACCGCTTTTGGCCAGTCGGGATCCAGTCGGGATCCAGTTGGGCACCACTGTCGGGAGGCAGCCAAATTCATAAAAAACAGCATTTTTGCAGTGTTTTTGCACGTTTTTTTGTGATTTTGGACATTTTGGCTGCTTCCCGACAGGTCCAAACGTGGTGCCAAAACTCGAAAATTGGTGCCCGACTGGATCCTCACTGGATCCCGACTGGCCAAAAGCGGTGCCCAAAAATTCAAAATTGGTGCCCGACTGGGTCCCGACTGGATCCCGACTGGGTTTCTTCAAACAAACACCTATTTCCCTAAATTTGAGCACCTATTTTTGAAATTTTAGCACCTTGCCGTGCACCACCCGCCCCTTCCGGACCCTCCAGTCTTAAGCCAAACACGGGCATATATATATATATTACATATATGTTGTATATTGTTTATATTCTTATATAATCTTATACATGCGTCAATATTATCTGTATATTTGGAAGGAAATGACCAACCGTGTATATACACATGCAGGTATTTATATATTTATAAATTTATAATATATTCAAACAGTTAGTATACATTATATAAAAAGTGATATGAAAGAACTGGGTGTTTACAATCCAGCTGAATGTATATGGGGTCTTTACGACTGGTAATTTTGAATCGTCGGTATGTATATATATATATATATACATACACACATATAGATGGCATTCACAATTGGGTCATTAGCCATGATGTGAGCGAATAGTAAGTGGAAAGTGCAGGTGGAAGGCATTGGTTGTAAGTGCTACAGCTGGACCCTACAGGCTTTGGAAGATTGGAATTGGAGTACTTTTTTGGTGTTTTGTGGCGTTTACCCTGCATCATGTTAGGATTTCCTAGCGAAATTGAACATACAGACCTCCCATTTTTGTGAACCCCCACCGTCAATGGGGGCTGAAACAATAGACTTTTTCTTTTTCAGAAGTCAGGACAGTTTTAGAGCCTCAAGAACAGTTTTCAAACAGGGTACCTCAAGTCAAACATGAACTCTATCCTGGTGGTATCTGGTCATTGATTCATGTTTCGTCGGGTTCAATAGGAACATCTCACCATGAGTCCAGTATTCAATCTCACTTGGATGTGCATGGCATTGGACAGGGGTTGATCTGGCTTATTTATTTCACTTGTATTATCGCCGTGGTGGCGTTGAGGAGTTGTCTGAAGAAGAACTTCTGACATCGCCCTTGGAACTGCAGTTGGTGATCTTGAACCTGTGGCCCCCAGAGCCATGGTACGACCAGAGGTTTCTGCTGGTGTGCCAAAAGAATCGTTGCTTGGATGGCTACTGATGAAGATATCTGGTTGAACCTTGGATGGGTACTTTGATTTACTGATATTGCTGCTGTACATATGCCCCACCATGGGAAAAAATGATCGATTTGAGCTTTGTGAAGTAGATATTTTGCCCTAGATTTTCAGTGGCTGGACACCTTATTATTGAACCAGGCTGTGGATGATGGATACTTTTTTTGCCAAGCTTGATGGGGTAGCTTCGCATCAGTTCTCCAATGTTAAGGGGAGGAGGTCAGGCGGTCTGCGTAAGAACTTTGGGATGTAGTCTTTGAGCTGCGATGACCAGCACCAAACTTATGGGGATATACTGGATATACATGGGAATATATATATATATGATTCTGGGTGGTAAAAAACAATCAAAATCTCAACCAGTTGGAGAAAAGTCGAGCTGCAACACGCCCTTCTCTCATCCTTGGATTTCACGCTAGGCTTGGACGAAGTGGAGCAGCTGCTTCACCGGCCGCAAGACCCAGAGACTCGCGACGTGGAGGGCAAATCGGCACTGCACTTTGCGGCGGAAGAGGGACACCTGCAGTGTGTGGAGCTGCTCCTGGAAGCCGGAGACCGGGGAATGGGATCAATCTGGTGGTTTCATTTTTAATATGAGCATCAGTATAATGAAGCATCATAACACATCATATAACTATAACATACTATAACCATCAATACTTGGGGAATCGAAAAAGGGACTATCCAAGTTTTTGAGACCCACCTTGGATGTCTCAGGGTGGATCCCTCCACCTCCCACCATCCCCAACCTCCCCCCTTCCCGACAGCCAGCTTACAAATGCGACTCTGTGACATTTTTCTCTCATGTAAACTTTGTAGTTGCACATGCCCACAAAACACCATGTATCATAGTATGGATTACTAGCATTGCGGCTCAGGTCAAAAAGCGCTAGAGCTGCTCGCTTAACGGTGTTTACCTTGTTAGGTTTATCAGTCTATTTGGGATTATAGCCATAACCCCAGCTGAAACCTGAAAATACAGGTTATCAGCCGTAGTCTCTATAGCCATCTAGAGACCAGGCGGTGATGGGTCTAGTTCTGGCGGTGCTCTAATTCCTGCAACGGGTTCAATGGTTCCAACAGCTGGAGTTCCGGCTACAAGCCCGGCTGGGACAAACCCCATTCCTATGACGGTAGACTATGGGTTTTTCATGGTTTTTCTATCAACCTGTCACGCTTTCCAGACATTTCCAGTTCGTGCAAAACAATTTCACGTACATAAATGAGAGCAACATTGACCACATCAGACAGGAAGCAGAGGAAAGGCATAGCCAAATCATGGAGCAGATCGGACAGCAACTGTGTCAGGATTACGAAAACCGTAGTCTGAATGTCGAGCAGGCGTGTTTCAATGAACTTGCTCAACAGCGCGCAAACGCTGACATGCGACATGACCAAGTCGCGGCAGAACTGACCAGCTACATGATGTCCCGTACGGTAGCTGAACAGGAAATCATGAACTTGAGGAAGGAACTCAGTGACGGCGAAACTGAAGAACGCTGCGAATGCTCGAACCAAAAGGTTTCTTTTGTCGCCAGGCAGTACGAGGAAAGGTATTCTGAACTCAAGATGAATCTTACTATGAGTCACTTGATTGAGGCTGAATTTAAAGTTCACGCCATTGACAGCCTCGCTTACTTGGCTCACCTGAGGGGGGTGTAGTTGCACATGCCCACAAAACACCATGTATCATAGTATGGATTACTAGCATTGCGGCTCAGGTCAAAAAGCGCTAGAGCTGCTCGCTTAACGGTGTTTACCTTGTTAGGTTTATCAGTCTATTTGGGATTATAGCCATAGCCCCAGCTGAAACCTGAAAATACAGGTTATCAGCCGTAGTCTCTATAGCCATCTAGAGACCAGGCGGTGATGGGTCTAGTTCTGGCGGTGCTCTAATTCCTGCAACGAGATCGATGGTTCCAACAGCTGGAGTTCCGGCTACAAGCCCGGCTGGGACAAACCCCATTCCTATGACGGTAGACTATGGGTTTTTCATGGTTTTTCTATCAACCTGTCACGCTTTCCAGACATATTTCCAGTTCGTGCAAAACAATTTCACGTACATAAATGAGAGCAACATTGACCACATCAGACAGGAAGCAGAGGAAAGGCATAGCCAAATCATGGAGCAGATCGGACAGCAACTGTGTCAGGATTACGAAAACCGTAGTCTGAATGTCGAGCAGGCGTGTTTCAATGAACTTGCTCAACAGCGCGCAAGCGCTGACATGCAACATGACCAAGTCGCGGCAGAACTGACCAGCTACATGATGTCCCGTACGGTAGCTGAACAGGAAATCATGAACTTGAGGAAGGAACTCAGTGACGCAAATGCGAAACTGAAGAACGCTGCGAATGCTCGAACCAAAAGGTTTTTTTTGGTCGCCAGGCAGTACGAGGAAAGGTATTCTGAACTCAAGATGAATCTTACTATGAGTCACTTGATTGAGGCTGAATGTAAAGTTCACGCCATTGACAGCCTCGCTTACTTGGCTCACCTGAGGGGGGTGTAGTTGCACATGCCCACAAAACACCATGTATCATAGTATGGATTACTAGCATTGCGGCTCAGGTCAAAAAGCGCTAGAGCTGTTCGCTTAACGGTGCTTACCTTGTTAGGTTTACAAACCTCAAAAATACAAACTTGAAAAACATGAGGCGCATACATAACATAGCGTACTTGAACATAAGAACGTATGATACACTTGATATAATAGACAACATATCAATCATCAATATACATATACATATACATATACATATATATATAATTATATATACACATGCTTATATCACACATGATGGAAATTTCTGAAACATCAACAGCCACATCCCCTTTTTCAGGAGCCCGGCTGGACCTTCAGCAAGACCTCAGCGGCACGGCGCCGTTGCACCTGGCGGCGGAGCAGGGGCACCTGGCCGTGGTTCGGCGGCTGCTGCAGCGGGGCGCCGACAAAGACCTGGCGAGTCCCCACGGGATGACGCCGCTGCGCCTGGCGGCGTTGAATGGACGCCCAGCGATGGGAGAAATGGTGGGGGATCCCTCCCAAAAAAAAATGAAAAAACAAGGATTGATTGAAAAGTTCAGGACTGAAATTGTGTAAGGAACAATTTTTGGGGCATTTTTTTTTTGGTGGTGTTTGCATGTTTTTTGTTGATGTTTTTGTTTGGACCATCTCAGAAAGGACATGTGGAGGTGGTGAAACTGCTCTTGGATGAACCTTGGATGGTAAGCCTTGGGCCATGGGTTTTGGAAAACTGGACAGTGGGGGGTTTGAAACAGTGAAACAGCTGCTAAGCTGATGAACTTGAGTTGTTGGCACATGGCCATGTTCGACACTCAGAGGGCTGCAAATGAAATATCAATCAGCCTCGGGTTCGGTTGGTTAAGCAGTTGAGTTGCCGTTGGAGTTGGTTTGTTGATGTTTCACCGATCGCAAAAAAATGATGTTTTCTTGCAGCAAACATTTGGGATTCCCAAAATGAGGGAAACTACATACAGTTCATGAACGACACATGGGGATGGATCGTGTGTATTTTTGGTTCTTTTGGATCGTAACCAACATGGAATCATGATCCCAACTGACAAAACATGATATTGAATGAGCTGAATGCATGCAAATAACGATTGCCAATCATGTAGACATATTGATGTGCTTGATTTGGCGATGGATTGATATTTACAACTGAAATCCTACATGATTGAGGGTGATATGAATCCTGACTTGGGGTCGCTTGACACAGACATTTACGTTACGCTGGGGTAGGTTTTCAACAGCAAAACTTGATACTTTGGATGTGGCGGCGGCGAATTGAAGGGTTTCGAGCCTTGCTGTTTTTAGGATCCATGCCCATGACATTCTATCGAGAATTTTAAGGGATGCCCTGCAAGACGAATCAGAGAACCTGCCAGAAGAGTTTTTTTATAATGGCACCATGGGAACTGGAAATTCACCAGCCAAGAGCACCCTGAGATGGTCGGATGGCTGGTCCTTCATCCCTGATTTGCTGATTTTCTGATGTTTTTTGTTTCCCGGAATGGGGGAAATCCACTACTTGGCGAATCTATAGGATACTGGGAATAATACGTTGTTTTTTTTTGGGTTCCTTCAGCAAATCCAAGTCATAGACAGTGGATCAGGATTGTTCTTATTTTCCAAATCGCTTGTTGAATTCTCATCTTTCGGAGGGTAAATGGAACCCCTGAAAACTCCAAAAAAATGCTGCTTCCAGCCCCATGTCTGTTGAAGATCCTCTGTTTTGCTGCTTACAAACTCCTCATTTTGGCTACATGGGTTTGCCTGAAATTGGGGTACCGAAAACCTGATAGAATGCACGAAGCCGAACACACAACACGTAAGACACTTTTGTGAGACAACTTAGTACACCAGTCGTGCTATCCTACATATCATTGTAGACTTTGGACTGAAAAGTGTGGAGTGTGGAGTGGGGAACTGTAGAGTGTAGAGAGTGAGTGTATTGTATGTGAAGTTTGAAGTGTAGAGTGTGTAGGGTGTGAAATCTGGAATCGGAGTGTGGAGTGTTAAAGTGTTGAGTGTCGAGTGTGGAGAGTTGAGTGTAGAGTGTGTAGTGCAGAGTGCAAAGTGTGAAGTGTAGAGTGTAGAGCGTGCGCTGTGGAATGGGGAGCGTGGAGTAACAAGTGTAGAGTGTGGAGTGTAGGGTGTGGAGTGTATTGTGTGTGAACTGCGAAGTGCAAAGTGCGGAGTGTCATGTATAGAGTGTAGAGTGTGGAGTGCAAAGTGTCAAGCACGGAGTGTAAAGTGTGGAGTCTATAGAGTGTGGAGTGTGTTGTGTAAAGCGTCGCCGAGTTTAAAGTAGTGTAGAGTGTAGAGTAATGTGGGTCAAACAATAGTAAACCATCCTCCAGTCATCACCATTTTTCTATGTGGTATGGTTACCGAATGGTTACCATTCCCAGTCATGGGTGGTTTATTTATGACATTGTTTTATCCACATTATTAATATCCCATCCCATTCATCATATCCCCATTAATATCCCCATTAATATCCCAATAAATATCCCAATAAATATCCCATAAGGTGATTATAGGCTGTGTAGGCTCTAAGGGATATTAAGGCTGTGTAGGCTCTGTAGGCTTATTAATATCCCAATATTAATCCCATTGATGTCCCATTAAATATCCCAAGTCGGCGCAACTGCGCTGCACTTGGCCGCTTTGAACGGGCACTTTTTGAGGTGCTGCTGTGCGTCCCAATCAGTCAGTGGATACCAACCCAATGAATAACCCAGTTATATATAAGGACATTTCCCCATTTACAGTATATCCATTTAATTACTATAATTCAATTTATATGTATGCACCATTAACCTCTTACTGACTGGAAGTGAGTTTTAAGTGATATATATATACATATATATATATTATGATTATTTTTTGGTAATTAATCATGTATATCTATACACACTTGTATATAACTTCACTGCACCCCCAACTTTGCTACCTGAATCCCAATCAATCCCATCGTGTCCCAGAAAATAACCATGGCAATCCCTTAAAATCACCATTAAAATCACTGGTGAACTAACATAGCAATGGAAAATGGCTATAGAAATAGTGGATTTTCCCATTAAGAATGGTGATTTTCCATTGCAAACTGTTAGTTCACCAGAGGGTAACATCACTATTAATAAACCACCATTAAAAAAACCCATTGAACAATCCCGTAAAATCACCATGAATCTCCCATTCAAATCCCAGCAAAATTCCATCAAGTCCCAGTTCTAAAAAAATGTTCTTATCCCCATAAAAAATCCTATTTAAGATTTCAAAATCCCATCATCAAAATCCCATCATCAAAATACCCATCATCAAAATACCCATGAAAATCCCCATGAAAAGCCCCATCTATCTTGACCATGGCTGCCATGGCCGCCATGGCCAGATCTCGCAGGTGGTGCGTCTACTGCTCCGCGCGGGGGTGGATCGAGATAAGACCTCAACTGCTGGAGCCACTGCGTCACTGGTCCAGCACTTTGTGAGTCTTTGGCCATGTTGATGGGTATATTATGTATAGATTTAATGATATAAAGAATAATATTATAGTAGGTATATATATATAATATTATATATATACATATGTGAATATTTAATGATATAAAGGATTATATTATGATATATATATATATATGTCTCTGTATATGCACATATATGTACATATTTTTAACGATGAGTTGCGCTGTGGGTTCCACTGCCATAGTCACCATACCCAATTTAGAAAAAAACCCGAATTCGGGGGCTATTAAGTGACTTGACATAAAATCATCCCGTTTGTAGGGCCCAATGCTATGAACCTCATCAACCACTATTGAATTACCGGGGATGGTGGCGATGGCACTGTGGATCCCGCATTGAAAAGAAAGAGAATCGGAACAGGAAACCTTGTTTCCAAGAACATGACGTTTCATGTGCGAATGAGTCGAATGGTGGAACCACATTTTTTGACAAGATGGTGTTTCCCAAATTTACGACCATTCCAACATCCAACACAGTTTTCTTAAGTTGTCTGAAATATGTGCTGCTCAAGGGTTTTATCCCGACCAAAACTGGGGACTTTGCCATGTCTTGATGATGACACATTCCAAGTTTTTCCTACACCTGGGTCACCTGCTCGCATTTGACACTGTGTGTTGCCAGTGTCCCAGAGGTCTGTTTGATGGGCTCATTGCACTTCAACGATTTGCAGTGAACCATTGGTAAGTATCCTACAAAAAAGGACCCTGGAGCCACATATTTGGGTGGATGAACATCCAGAACCACCAGTTGGAGAGGTGATTTTTGAAGTGAAATTTGTATGGTACCATATGGTATCTCCAACTACAGCGACTCTTTGATATGGGTCAGAACTGGGCTAGTGTCCTACAAAATTGATCTATTTCAATCTTTAGCCTTCTATTTTGTTGGACTGACGACATCTGACGACTACATTTGTCAACGCAAACACGAATCTGGAAGTGTGAAGAGCGAACTTGAGTGTAAGCCCACAAGGCCACGCCTTGACAGTGACAATGCAATGAGACTTGTCAGTTTCAAACGTAACAGCGCATCACCAATAGAGGCGCTGTTTAGGCGAGTTGGCAGGCCAAGAACACAATGGACACACAGCACCCTTAGCTTGATTTGGAAACAAATACGAACAGACGACAGTGATTTCACAAATTCTGACCAGCTACAAAGAATCGAACGAACGCAGCGCCGGTGAAATATAAAGATGATTGGCCTTTTGCTCTGACCAGGCTTTGTCCTGGACTTCGGTCCTAATCGAAACTAAAACTAGGGGAGACTATTTGGATGCGATGCTGTTCTGACGGGGGGCCGGGGGGCGCCTACGGGTATGGAAACACAACCCGCCTATTTTTCAATGTTTCACGCAGTCTCACAAACCGGACCTACGGCACGAAGGAAGGAACGAACGAACGAACAATTTTGATCCAAACCCTAATGTTTGCTGTTGTTTGTTGGCACATTTTACTGGGATTTTCCGTATTTTTATGGATGAACCGCAAACTGTGTGGTCTCTTTTACAATCAAAAATGGGGCCAATGATCCAAATCTCATCATATCCTTTTTTCTAATCGAATCACATGAAATTATATGAAACCCACTAACACATGGCATGCAATATGATGATTTTCAATGATTTTCCCCATAGTACACATATTCTATCATATTCTTACAATTTCTTACAGATCTGCACCATTTTTAAACAGTTCCAACTCCCACTTTCCAATATGGGTTTGTCTGAAAACAGGGTACTCCAACATCCACTGGAACTGCATTGTTCCCATTAAAATTGCCATTTGGTTGGTTAATTACTATAACTATTAATTAAATTATCCAAATAATAGTTAATTATTAGGTTGGTTAATTATACCCTTTCATTTTTTCGGCAAATCCTTCCACACTAAACTGAGGCTGCACCTGGCGGCCCTGAACGGGCACCCGGACGTGCTGAAAGTGCTGCTGGAGCACGGCGCGCCCTGCGACGTGGCCACGGCCACGGGGAAGACGCCGCTGCACGGGGCGGCGCTGTACGGCCACGGCAGTGTGGCACGGATGCTGCTGGAGTTTAAGGCAGACAAGGAGCTTGATGGGTGGGGTGGGCTGTGGAAAATCCATCAAGTAAGGCAATATCTATGTAATGTGTATATATATATTATACATATTATATACACATGTGTCCAACATATTATGTAATATTATATAGATACACATCATACAATATAAATGATAATCTATGATAATATTTGATGATGATGATGATGATGATGACGACGACGACCACGACGACGATGATGATGACGACGACGATGATGATTGTTGTGTATCGTATATAATTGTATAGATACTTGTTTTACAATATCAACACCATTGTATCACTGTTTTTACTACCACTATTGTTCTCATCAATATTATTTACTTTATTTATTTTATGGTTTATTAGTATCATCATCATCATCATCATCATCATCATCATCATCACCATCATCATCATCATCATCGTCGTCGTCATCATTTTCCACTATCTTTCTGTCTGGTATATCCAAATAACTAACTAACTAATTCAATAAATATTTACGAATTGCATGGGAACACCCTCTCTGTTAATATGGTTCATTTCTCTTTGGGAAATATAGTGATTGGCCCAATTCTTTTTAAAGATGACTTTCCGGAAATGGCAAATCCACCATGATAATGGAAGGAACACATCATTTATTTTCGACTTCCATAGATGGTGTTGCCAAGAAAATGATTTATAGATAAATTTCCCATGCAAACAAAAACATGTTTTTCAGCCAATGTTTTATTAGCAAAGGGTCTCACCCCACGCCTCAGTTTCTCAGTTCCTAGGAGAGCAGGGACTTTGCGGGTGCCACAGCGTTGCAGCTGGCCGTGAAGAATGGACACAGAGAAATTCAGAGCATCTTGCGGTAGGGCATGATTCGAATGGCGATGTGAACAAAACATGGAATGAATATACCACCATCTTGAAAAAACATCCTTTTACTGGGATAATTCTATCAAATTGGGTAGATTTAGCAAACCCTTATGGGGATGACAATCCCCATTATTGAAAAAGAAACTATGTTTTGACCACGGCACATGTGACGAATCTGAAAGCGAAACTATCTCAGCTATTCGATGATTTGAGCAATGCCTCAAATTCTTTGTGTTTAATTGTGAAGACTGGACTTACGCTAGGTGGTTGAACGGGGCCTCAAACTGGACTATATAATCTTCTGTCTGGGAACCTTCCCTGACCGAAATGTGCCTAGTTTCTGTGATTTGTGACCCCGAGCAACACTGCTCCGTTCCGCGGCGTTCATGGATTTAGTACCGGTGAAACCAGGTCAGTGCCTTTGCTTTGACTGGCGACCGGGGATCAAAGAGTCGATGCTGCGGTTGCTGCAAAGTCCCCATGGGTGAAGGGTTTTCATCACGACTCTTGGGGGGCATGAAACAGCAAACAGTTAACCAACAGAAAGAAGGGTTAAGACATAGCGACCATTGTCCTGAAAGTGTAAAGAACATGGCCATTTATTTCACTCAGAAACCAATGGGAATTCCAGATCATCTAGTAATAACAGCACACACACAAAAAAAACAATGGTGGGTATTTAACGTCTATTTCAAATTTATATAGAGTATATACTGTATAAAAAAATCTATAAGTGGGTTGTATATATTAACATTTCATTGGGTCAAAGATGTGCACACTTGGCATGACACTTTTTTTTTGGTGGCGCCAACTGAGGCGCCCGGCCAACCACCTGTTGGCCAACAAGGGCTACACTGCCAAGGTGGGGTTCCTGTCATCACGAAAAGATGGAAGGAGATAAGCAACAAGGAAAACAACAATATATATATATACACTGTATATATGTGTATCTGTATATATGTATATATATGCAAGTTTTCACTTGTCTCAGTCATCGCAATAGGATTCCATTCGATGCGACATCAAGCTTGTTGGATCAAAACGAAGGCCAAGGACCATCCAGTGGCGCATTAGCCCCACCATTAGGTGCTAGCCCTTCTTCCATTTCCACTCATCAACGCTTGAGTGCTGTGGCTCCCGCATGGTAGCGGAGCCGTAAGGCTCGTGTGAAAAGAGAGAGATCTCCCACTGCGTTGCCGTGAGGAGAACATGGGAGACAAGAATGTGAAGAAGATAGAAAGGAATAGAGATGGGGTACCCTGCTGGGATGGTGATGCCACCACCTTTACCGAGTACTACGAGTTAGCCTGCTTGTGGGAGCAATCGGTGCCATACCACAAGCGGTATCTCAGCGCACCGAAGTTGATCAATGAATTGACCAACACAGCCAGGCGATTCGTGATGGCAAAGGAGCCAGACTGGGTATCCTATGATGGTGGGGTGCAGGTTCTGCTGAACCATTTGCGGAGCAGCCTTGGCTTGCCCCAAATGTCAGAGATGAGTGACTACATGGCCAAGTACTTCCGTTACAGCAAACGGAAGCGAGGCGAGACGATGAACGAGTACATCACCCGCAAGACCGAGCTATATGCAAGGGCCAGGGCCTCATTAGCTCGAGTCCAAGAACGATATGAGCCCAAACGAGATACATCGTCGAGCTCTATGTCATGGTCACACAACTCATGGAGACGAACACCAGCTGCCTCTCAGGCTGCCAGTGTTGCACCTGACCCCGCAGCAAGCACCGCATCCCAGGCTGGTGACGTGGAGGAGCCAGCTGAGGAATCGGATGCACCAGATGAACGACATGAAGCAGCAGGAGAACCTGATCCATGGTCGAACTACGGCCACTGGACCAATTGGCAGTACCAGGACTGGGACTACTCAGGCCGAGGAGCTTGGCAAAACTGGAATGCAAGAGATTGGAGTCAGGGGAAAGCGCACTCCAACTTTGGCACTGGCTATGCTTTGACATCGGCAACAAGCCCAGAACTTCTGCCTGACTTTGTCCAAGGATGGTTCCTGCTTCAAGATGCAGGTCTTGACACGTCAGAAAAGAACATGGTGATGGCAGCCTTGAAGAACAACTTTGCGACCCAGCGCGTGGCCCAGGAGCTTCGCAATCAATGGTGTGATGAAGATTTGCGTCGCAAAGACCAACATGCCCGAGGTTCCATCATGATGGCGGAGGACGAAGAGGACGCAGATGATCCTGAGGCTGATAGCCTGGACTTCGGCTTCCTCATCAGCTCTGGTTTGTCTGACGAAGGCCTGGCAGTGATCGAGGCCGCAGAAGATCAAGTGCAAGAAGCAATGGCAGCGATAGAGAAAAATCGCCGCACCTTGAAAGAAGCCAGAGCTCGTCAGCACTTTGTGAAGATGAGCCGCCAGTACTACAAGAGCACCTCCAAAGGCAAGGGTCGAGGAATGTCAACCAGCACATACCGAGAGGAGCACTCCGGCATCTACAAGTGTCTTCGATGTGGCGGAAGCCACAAGACGTCGCAGTGCCCACAAAAAGAGCAGCAAGCCAACACTGTGGACAAGGATGCAGAGGCACCTTTTGTATGTTACGTTGACACTCCTGAAGATCAAGCCTGCATGACAGCAAGCACTATCACCACCCAAGAAGCGATGCAGCAAGGAAAAGCAGTCCTGGATGGAGGCGCCACCAGAACTCTGGCCAGTGTAGCAGCTATGGAAAGAATCATGGAGATCAATGCGGCTTCCGAGGGCAATGACGGCATCAAGTCAGTGAACCCGCAGGAAAGGCCAGTGTTTGGTTTTGGCAATTCCTCTACTGATCGCTGTTTGAGCACCGTCACTCTTGGCATCCAAGCTGGTGGTCGAGAAGGACAACTGAGAGTGCACACCCTAGATCGGGGGGAAGGTCCTCTGCTGTTTTCCATAGATGCTTTGAGGTCATTAGGTGCCATAGTAGACTTCTCACAGGACTTGGTTTGTTTCCGAAAGCTGGACAGCCAACGTGTGATCCAGCTTGAGAGGTCTTGTACAGGCCATCAGTTGCTGCCCCTCACAGAAGATCTTTTCTCCAAGGCTCAGAGCACCAGCAAACCGGTGCCGAGCTTAAGTGATTTCTTATAGGGACAACTCCTCTCTGAGCCGAAGTCTGCCGGTGAAAGGGAGGTTGTGGCCGCAGTTGCAGACACAACATGTACAGTATCCAACCTGGTTTCTACTGGAAGTCAAGTGACGTCTCAAACTGTTAATGTTGATGCTTTTGATGTTTCGGGTGTTGGTTTGTTTGGTGAAACTGTTGACAAAAAGGGATTGCAGCCAAACCCATGCACAAAACACACAACACACTTTGATGTAGCTCACTCAGTGGATCAACGAACACCCAGCAGCTCTCAGTGTCAGCCCCAGCATGCCACGCATGTCCAAAGACGAGATGATCTCCGAGATGGCCCGATTGGGCGAGATGCCACCGAAAGAGTGGACCATGATGGAGATCTCATTGCGACTGGACGAGCTTCGCATGGAGCACGGCCTGACACCCATGAGCGAGGGCAAGAGCAAGACCCCCTTGCGCAAGCTCGTGATCCAGCTGAACGAAGCTTCCAAACGCAAAGCCAACTTGGTGGAGTTTGCCCAGAAACAGCTTCAGGTCCCAATGAATGGCAACGAGACCATCCAGAGCCTCCAGCGTCGCTGCCTCCTCAAGATTTACGAGGTGACGCCAGCATGTGGGGAGGACCCAGTGGGTTTCGGCAAACACTCCTCTCTGAGTTACCACGAACTGATGACCACCCAGAAAGAGTACGTCCAATGGGTGATCAACACAACTCAGGAGAACATGGAGGGCCAGACTTGCGACCCTCGCCTTCAGCGTTTGGGACTTTGGCTGATGTCACAGCTCGAGAAGTCCAAGATGGTTCCGCACCAGCCAAAGACAGAGCCAGTTCCAGAGGCCCTTTTGATCGAGAAGGGCTACCGCAAGGTCAAGACAGAGAAGGGCAAGATCGCACCTTCCGAGACATCATCCGTCACCGGCAGTGTCACCAGCTCTCAGCTCCAGGCCACCCACCAGCTGATTCAGAATCTGGCCAGCGCAGTGGTGGATTTGAAAGAGGAAGTGAGTGCGATCAAGCAGGAACGCCCCCGCAAGGAGGTCAAGAAGGAGGAAGAGAACTCAAACGGCAGTTTCTCAGTGATCTCGCGTTAGATCCAGTGAGTCCAAGCTGTGAGGACCTTAGCCATGACCCTAGTTGTTCCGACCATAGTTTTGCAGCAGCCTTAGACATCGAACATGAGCATACCAAACAGGCAGGTAAGGTGATGTCTATTCAAGAACAGCGTTTTGTGGAACAAACGTCAAACCAGATGTTGCCCAGTGCTCTGCAGTCCTTGGTCACTAGGAGTAGGGTTAAGTTGCTTGAAGTAGCCTGTAGTCCTGACAGTGTTTTATCAAGTAGCATGCAAGAAATGACTGGAGTAGAGGGTTCAGCCGTCCGATGTTCTCTGTGGAACGGCTGTGATCTCCGAAAGGGTTCTGGGGTCAGAATGGTTTTGGATCAAATTGACCTTCATCAGCCTGAACACGTGTGGATGAGCCCAGAGTGTGGCCCTTACTCAGTCATGCAGAATATCAACCAGCGCACGGAGGCGCAGAGACTATCTCTTGAGGAAAAACGAAAGGAAGCCTTGCGTCAATATGTTGGATGTGCCATCATATACCGATACTGCGTGCAACGGGGTATTCATATTTCCTGGGAGTGGTCACAGTCATGCCAAGGTTGGAGACTCCCCCTTATTCAAAAACTGGTTCGGGATGTTGACCCCAAATTTGCGGTTGTGAGGGGTTGCCAGGTCAATTTAAGGGATTCCCAAAAACAGTTTGTGAACAAGGGTTGGAAAGTCATGACTACTCATCCTTTGGCTGCCCAGCGTTTAGATTTGCCATGCCGATGTTCCCCAGGTACCAAACATGTGCCATGCGAAGGATCATTAACTGGTAAGTCTGCCTTTTACACACCTGAGTTTGCCAAGAGGGTTTGCAGTTGTATCCTTCAGGGTTCTGACCATGCACTGGTTCAACAGGAATTGCAGTTTGGGAAACCCGAAAACCCCAATTTTGGTTTGGGAACCATGTGTGTTTGTTCGGATGGACTTGCTCATGGGGCTGAAATCACATGTGGTCATTGCACTCAAGGGTTTGTTGCCAAACTGAATACTGTTCATGATGTTACCATGGATCACGAGGCACATGCAGGCCATGAGGTGAAACACGAAGTTGTTGACACTGAAGGTCATGAGGCGCATGCAGGTCATGAAGTTCAAGAACATGTCATGGCGGTTCAGGGTTGTAAGAGGGATTTTCCCCAAGGGTTGACCACCAAAGAGATTCAGAAACGACTTTATTTGCTGCATGCAGCCACGGGACATGGGCCGGTGAAACACCTTGTTTTGGCGTTGAAACGAAGGGGTGCTCCTGAACATGTGATTAAAGAGGCTGAACAATTTAAATGTTCGGTGTGTCATGAGAGAAGCCAACCAAAACCAAGAAATCAGTCTTCGCTGGAACCCCAGCCTCGGCGTCTCGAAGTTTTGTCCGCAGATGTTGGACACTGGGTTCACCCCGTCAGTGGTGAGCATCAACAGTTTTTGTTAATGGTGGATGAGGGTTCCAGATTTAGGGTTGCACGTCACTTGCACACGGGTCAGCAGAAACACATCTCAGCCACGCAGTTTATCAGTACTCTCAAGGAAGCCTGGTTTGAATACTTTGGTATTCCCCACACCTTGCGTGTGGACCCGGATGGAGCATTTCGAAGCCATGAACTGGGAGCTTTCTGCGATCAAAATCGCATTTTTCTGGACATGATACCAGGTGAAGCACACTGGAAAAACGGAACATGTGAGAAAGGAGTCCAGGGTTTGAAAGAACTGATGTACAAGCTGGCGAGTGATTTTCCTGATGAAGCGTTTGTTGACCTCCTTTCGGAGGCTACCAGAGTGTTCAACTCCAGAGAACTGGTACGTGGTTTTAGCCCGATACAGCATGTCATGGGACGGGCTCCAGATGAGACCGGCCGTTTCTTCCCAGTTCCAGTGGGCTGGAGTGATGATTTGCTTTGTGAAGGAGCTACTGCTGAGCACACTCGGTGCTATCAACTGCGTTTGGAGGCCGAAAAGGCCTATCTGGATTGGAGCACACGTCAGAGATTGACCCGAGCGAGAAACTCACGGGGCCAAAGAGTTCTGGATTTTTCAGCCGGTGACCTGGTTTTTATTTGGAGAAAACAGCAACCACACAAAACTCAACAAGGAAAACCAGGTCAAGGAAAGTTTATTGGTCCAGCCAGGATTCTGGCAACAGAACGTGCACGTGATCAACAAGGTCATCTGAAACAAGGAAGTTCAATCTGGCTTGTGCGTGGGCGCCGGCTTCTGAAGTGCAGTGCAGAGCAGCTCAGACATGCATCACCAAGAGAACAACTCTTGGAGGAACTACACAGTGAAGATCCACAACCTTGGAGTTTTACCAAGGTGGCAAATGATCTCGGTGGCAATGAGTATGATGACCTCACAGAGGCAGAGGTCCCACTGCAAGAATGGCACCGAGCCTCAGATCCTTTACTGGAGATGCAGCCGAGCAAGCGGTTCCGTGGGAAAAACCGCGTGCTGATGCCGAGAACACCCACAGCACCAGCAGATGACGTTCAGGCGGTCGATCAGGATCTTCTGGATGAGTTTGCACCCGAAGCAGGTGGTTCGTCCGGCTCTCGAGCAGTCCGCAGTAGATCACCTACAAGACCAAGGGTCAATTTCTCAGAGGGATACCATGACTTACCAAAAGAAGAACACTGGAGTAAGAAAGTACATGAGTCATATTTTGTTTCTGAGCCCAAAGACTTCTGGCATGGTGAACAAGCAGCTGTGCAGCTGGAGATTGAACTCCCTGACACGCGTGCGAGATCAGAGAGAGCACTGAAGGACATGCATGCCTTCATTACTACTTCCTTGAAGCGCAGGGCAGTTGAAGTGAGCGAAAGACGCCTCACACCTACGGAGTTACAAGAGTTTGCCAAGGCAAAAAGCGTGGAGGTGAACAATTTCATTGCTGCCAAAGCCTTTGAGGCACTTCCAGCTGACTACCGAGTGGACCGGACACAAGCTGTAAAAATGCGGTGGATACTCACATGGAAGAGAAAAGATGATGGCACGAAGAAAGCAAAGGCACGTGCAGTGCTTCTTGGTTATCAGGATCCACTCTATGAGCATCGGTCGACAATGAGCCCAACAACGACTCGTCAGACCAGACAGCTACAACTGCAGATCGCAGCGAGCTGTGGGTTCACAACTGAAAAAGGTGATGTGACAGGTGCCTTCCTACAGTCCAGACCTTACCCATCTGAACTGCACTGCATACCATGCAAAGAAATCTGTCAGGCAATGGGCTTGCCAGAAGAATCAGTAGTGCGTGTACAGAAGGCCTGTTATGGTTTGGTAGACGCCCCTTTGGAATGGTACCGTAGTGTCAGCATGTTTTTCGAACAGCTAGGTTTTCACCGGTGTCATAGTGATCCATGCTGCTGGGTCTTGGTCAAAGACAATAGACTCAGAGGCGTAGTGTCAGGCCATGTTGATGACTTTCTGTTTTCAGGCAGTACAACAGACCCTGTCTGGATGGCCACGCGCAAGGCCATCATGGAAGAATTCAAATGGTCAGACTGGGAGAAAACCAAATTCACCCAGTGTGGCGTATGTGTTGAAGAGCACCCTGATGGCTCTTATTCGTTGTCTCAAGCTCAGTATGTAGAGGAACTTAAGTATATAAACCTTCGAGCAAACAGGCGGAAGGAAAAAGAGTCACCGACCGATGATTGGGAGAAGTCTCAATTAAGAACCCTGTTAGGTGGAATTAGTTGGCATGCACAACAAGTTGCACCACACCTGTCAGCAGATGTGAGTCTGCTCCTGTCCCAGATAAACAGCAGCACAACTGACACCATCAAACAAGCAAATGGGTTGCTGGACCAAGCTCGGGCCATGAAGGAGCACCGTATGAAAATACACAAGATCCCTGTGGATCAACTGATGTTGTGTGCGTGGTGTGATGCGGCCTCACAAAACAGACACGATGGATACAGTACTCAAGGGATTGTCATAGGAGCTGTTCCTAAAGACTTACTGCGAGGTCAATGTGTTCCTGTGTCATTCATGTCATGGCACTCTTCCAAGATATCCCGAGTGTGTCGCAGCCCGGGAGCGAGTGAAGCGGCCGCGGCCGTAAATGCTGAGGATCTTCTTTTCTTTGCAAGGTTTCAGTTAGCCGAAATGCTAGGTTATCCAGTGCAGGTGCGATCTATCAACCAGGCTGTAAACACCATACAGGGCTGTGTAGTGACAGATAGCCGTAATGTGTTCGATAAGCTTTCCACTGAGGTCTTGTGTCCGAAAGGTGCAGAGCGCCGAACCGATCTGGAGTTGCTTAGTTTAAAAGAATCTCAACTGAGGAATCACGTATGCATCCGTTGGGTTCACTCTGAGGCACAGTTGGCAAACAGTCTCACGAAAACTAAGGAGATGAGACAGCTGATGTTGTTCTACCAGATGGATCAAACGTGGCGCATCGTAGAAGATTACAGTATGGCATCAGCAAAGAAACGGAAGCAACGTGGACAACCACCTCTTGAAAACGGACCTGGCCAAACAAACCCTGAGAACATACCTACACACATGAACATACACCTCACAAGTGCGCAAGCGCTGAATCCCTAACTCTTTTGTGGTTTTGGTTCTTATTGAGACTTCCAGGAGAACCGGGCCGGGGGGCATGCAAGTTTTCACTTGTCTCAGTCATCGCAATAGGATTCCATTCGATGCGACATCAAGCTTGTTGGATCAAAACGAAGGCCAAGGACCATCCAGTGGCGCATTAGCCCCACCATTAGGTGCTAGCCCTTCTTCCATTTCCACTCATCAACGCTTGAGTGCTGTGGCTCCCGCATATATATATATAATTAATGGGAAGAATCATGGGATAAATTAACCAACATTAACATATTTTAACCAACATTAAGATACGTTAACCAACATTATAGTAACCACATGTAACCACCATCAACCAACTATGGTTCTTCTTATCCCATGAATCATGATATAATTTGGAATATGTATGGGATAGGGATATCATCTGGACAATGATCGGCCAACATTCACCAATGGGAGTTCACCAAGCCTTTAATGGGAACATTGGTTATAGAACGTGGTTTAATATGGAATACGGTAACAATTAACCAACCAAATTTATGCGACCGACATTAACCAAAGGGAATATGATGGGAACAGCCATCAACCAATATAATTACTATGGGAATATCAGGTACTGAAACACATAGGATATAGCATGATATCACCAACATTAACCAACCTTAACCAATATCTAATCGTGGGAATAGCGGGAATATCATGGGATATATCATTTTAATGGGAAATAATGGGACATCATCCTTAACCAATGGGAATATCATGGGAGAAATCTGGTGATTTCTCAAAAGATAAGAATATAGCCACCGACGATTGGGATACGTGGGGTATAAGATTAACCATTTCATGGAAAATTGGGATATTAATCGGATATATCACCAGCAATATGATATTTTGGTGTGACTGATCATTGGGTATACCAAGGTATCCCCCAATTTATGGCAATTTTAAGTCGCCAATTTATGATGATAAACCAGTGGATCTAAGGTCACCCCAAACATGATCAACAGAACGATTGCCATGTTTGCCCGAAGGTCGCCAATGATTTGCGTGGTGTTTTTTGTTGACTTTTCCATACTTTTCCATTTGTCCGTCTCAATTTGGTGGATGAATGAACTGCCCATCCTTGAGGACCTATAGAAATCCTCAATGGAACATCCATGGAACATCCATGGAAAAAGCGATTTCATCAATGGAAAATCCCTGGATTTTATCCTCGTTTCTAGATGTCTCAGGTCTTCCCGATGCCTCCCAGGCGCCTGTGCGCAAGTACACCTCCAGTTGGGCGGTGGCCAAGGGGGATTTCGTCCGTGCGGGAACTCAGCACATCCGTTCGTGGGTTCCAATGGCTTCAAAAAGGGGATGAATGTACCATGGATTTTCGAATATTTTTATGTCACTAGTGGTTGGATTTTAGCTGTATACAATTGTATACATACGTGATGTATTGAGATATGCATCATATCCATAGCTGGAATCTGTGTTTACGCTCTATTTTGAAGGGTTTGACAAATGAAATGGAGGGTTCACCATCCAGAATACATAGTCATTTGTTTCCAGCCATGTATTACATATATAGTGTAGAAGTATATAATTACATAGGATTAAATATGTATACACTGTATAGCATAGTATATTGGTGTATATCTTGTCCAAGGCGATTTGGCCATCTCCAGATTATCGCCGGGGGATGGAGTTTGTGGGGGGGTCTATCCCAAGTTGGTCCAAGTTGGACATCCATGGACATCCCATTTTACTGTAGTTGCCAAGTGGGACCAAAACTTACCACTTAACATTCTATGCGCGCATTCATTGATGTATGATATTGATCCCATTCTTAACTTACCACTTAACATACCACTGTATATCATATCAACAAACATCACATCATTCGAAAAGTATACGTCACTTTTCGATGCGCGCAGCATATTAGCCCCAAAAAGAGAGAGAGAACACTAAAATCATCTAAAAGCCTAGCAAAACGCTAAATCAGACATGGCTGGAACGTTTTCCATTTAGTTTCATTTAGTTGATTTTCCCCTTGTTTTCCTATCCATTGATAGTGGATTTCCCCATGTTTTCCGATGATTTTCCGCCTGGTCCCAGCAAGCCTCCCCTGAGTTTGGCTGGAACCCGAGGCGGGAGTTGCCGCTTGGTCTTGGATGCCAGCCTTGCCAGAGGCAAGAAAAGCGGAGGTTGATCGCTGGGAAAATCAACGAACTAAATGGACTAGAAATGGAATAGAAATGAAGGTTTTCATAGGAAATCATAGGAATATCCACTATAAATGGAGGTTTCTAGTCGGGAAAATCATCGAACGATACAAATAGGAGATTTTCGGGAGGGCAATCGAGTTTTTCTATCATTTACGTGAGACACCCAGTTTCTGAGGACTTACTATGACTTACTAAGTAAATCTAAGTAGGGTGATTGACCAGTACTAAGTGGGATATTCCTGCAAGTAGGAGCCACTGCTTAGGAGGGAACTGCAATTGGAGCTGTGGTTGTATCCATATCCACCAAAACAAGGTGAGGCAAGGAACTACGATTTGAGTCCTCAAGATAGATGAAATGCAAACCAGGTACAACACAAGGATAAGCCACCACGGCAGCTCAGCAATCAGCGCCCCATGGCGCTGGAGATGTTTTCACTCCGAAGCTCGTGTTCGGCGGTTCAAAGGGCCCCTAGTTGGGCCAAGATCCGGCACCAAGGACGGCGTTCGTGAACTCAACTCAGAAGCACAGACTGGAAGGATGAAAGTGATCAATTGCAGTTTCCAAACCATACGGCAGGCTATGAAAGATGGGCTCTGAAGATGGGATGGGGGCCTTACCTCTTTGAATCTCGGGAGCGTGAAGGATTTGATGGAGAACGAAGCCGGACATGGCGCTGTTAGTGCTGGACGCGGCCAGATGTTGCTCTGTCAAGTTCTCAAGGGGCAGCATGCCATGTTCCACATCACTTCTATGCATTAAATTAGATAAAGCGAATGGCAGCGGGGCTAGCGGCCGGAGGAAACTGTAGAAAGGTTTCAGCAGCTGAGTCTGAGACAAGCGACCATGGCTTGTTTGGACGCACTAAAGCCAGACTGAAATGCACTGAATATGGGATACACTTGCAATCTTGCAGAACTGAGTATGAAGCCGGCAAAATAGAACGTGATTTCACCAAACAAGCACCTGAGTTTACCTAGTAGACATGGAGACTTGCCCACTAAACCTGAGATCAGGATGTAACCAGCATCAAATCGGGTTCTAGGCAGCAAAAAAAGAGGTAGATGTGCAATATGTATACGTATATATATATATATGAATTATATGTGTATATATAAATGAATAAATAAATCTATATATTATATGTATATGTACATTATATGTATATATATATATTATGCATATGTATATGTATATGCATATATAATTTTATTTATATATATTATGTATATATATATACATATATATATTATGCATATGTATATGTATATTATATATATATATTGTGTATATGTATATGTTTATATATTCTGTATATGTATATATATAAATATATTATGTATATGTGTATGTATATATATATATAAATATTATGTATATGTATATATTTATATTATGTATATGTATGTAAAAATTATATACATATATATATTATATGTATATATATATTGTGCCAATGTATGCATATTTTATTATATGTATATATGTACACATATTATATGTATGTATATATATTATATGTATATATATATATTATGTATATGTATACATATTCCATTATATGTATCAAAACATACATATATATATATGCACATATTATATGTATGTATATATATATATGGATATATTATGCATACATATTATATATATATATAAGTATGACATGTAAATATATTATGTATATGCATACATAATATATTATATGTGTAAAAATACGCATATTATATGTATGTATATATATATATATATTTATATATTATGCATACATATATATTTTGCATATATATATAATATTTGTATATGTAATATGTATAAATATATATACACATGTTTTTCTTATCTTATATACATATAGTGCAACAAATAACCAATGAGAATCAGTGGTTTATTTGTAACCATTTTGATGAATTCTGTGCGGCTCGACATCTAGAACAAGGTAAACCCAATAGTCCAATAGTAAACCACCCCCAAAATGGTGGTTAGTTACTGGGATGGTTTCTTACTGGCTTTACCACTTTGGTTGTCACCGTCTCCGGTGTGAGACTCAGGATACCTCAGGTTCCCTTTGCAAATTTCAGTTGTATGAATCTTGGAAATGACCCAAATCTGCGCAAATTATCAGGACCTCACTGTTCTCTCTCACTGGAATGATGGCTAGTAGGGGTAACTATGCCAAAATAGTCCTTTTTGGAGCCGTGATAGGCAATCCAGCGGCGGTGGCGACACTGGGGGGCAAGGACCTTTGGGAGAGAGCCTCTCGGACTGGAACCGGTTTGATGGGCAATGGCTCCAAAAGTTTATATACCCATGGCCCATGCATCCTGGATTGTCCTGAAAAAATCACACTAGGTGGCCAGTACGCTACTGAGTAGCGAGCGGATGCCTCACCAGAACTGCCGAAAAAAGTGAACCCAGATTTGGGATTATAACAGCCAACCAAAATGGTAGAAATCAATAGACCATGTTTCTCCAGGATGTGACAAAGACTATGTTTCTTCCATGATTTCGAGGTTCCAACTGGTATTTCGATATTTGGGGTTCAATGACATAAAGAATCTTACAGTCCTTATATACAATTCTTATATTTGGCGGTTAAATCAGATAAATCCCAATGATTGTGCCTTGGCTTTGCCTTTTTTTTCACAAACCAAAATGCTGTCCCAGTGACAACCCACTTCCCCAAGGTCTGGAGGGTTGACATGCCCTGCGAGGTGCGACGGGGAGAGGTCCTCATCTTAGGATTTCAACATAGGGCAGCCCATTCTGAGGTGGGCATGGTACAGATAGTTTTTTTTTGGATCAGAACTGCTTTTGACCTCAACAGGTTTGGTGAAGAAAGCAGGGTGTGCTTTTGACCCTAGGGGTTCCTGTAAATTTTCATTGCCAGGGCCCCCCTGGTTGAAAAACTCTGGCGCCCGTGCGGCAGACATCGGAAGAGCTACCGACTTGTCCAATCTGCTTGGGTGTCTGGGTATGTCTGGGTGGCCTTCAGGGCCGCTTTGGATTGGAGCTGTTGATGGGTTGATGTTGTTGTAAACGGGGAGAGTACTTCATGATCATAGCCTGCCAGATGTGTTCTATCAGCTGCAAACAGGGGCGAGATGATCCGTATTTCTTCGGCTGAAGTCGCACATATTCTCCGGATTTATCAAATTGGAGGAGGAACACCTCCGTCACAAACAAGATAGAAATTTGCGAAACTCCAGTTGCAGTTTCTGGCCCACCAATCAAGACATATCAAGACTGGATGGCAGGGGCTGTGGTGTGATCCACCGCATTCTCTCAGTGATCCCGATGCCAACAGCGGTATCACCCTGAACAGATCTGAACACAACTTGGAACTTGATTATCACAGGTGCATGAACCAGTTACAGGACCCCACATAAAGATTCAGGAAAACTTAAACTGACAACTCATGCTTATATGTGTAGTCTATTGTGTATATATATATATGTAGTATGTAATATGTATTGTATATGCTTATTTTCCCCATCTTTTTCGGGTGTCACGTGGTGTCACCAAAGAATCGCCTGAGGCGAGCCGGAAGTCATCCGCACCCCGCAGTGCGGCCACGTCATCTGCCTGGCCTGTGCCCTGCGGCTACGGCAGCAGGCGGCGCAGACGAAGACCGCAGCCAAGTGTCCGGTGTGTAGCAAGGCTGAGGGGATTGGGATGGGGGATGCGGTTGGTTTACGCTGGACCGCACTCCTAGTTTCCCCTATTTTTTCTCACAGGATGTACGGATGTACAGATGGTAACCTGGAAAAAGATGCAAAAATGAAATCCCACTCAAATAGTGATGTATCACTTTTCTATCTTTTGGGAGGTTACTATATGCAGCAAGTGTAACTTAGAATGTGGTTTTGGAAACCGCCGCCCCACCGGGCAAGCCAAAACTCACGTTTTGGGCACCTTCCACTTTTGAAATCATCTTCCCACCACGCTATGTGCGAACGGTTTGACACTTAGAATGATGCAAAAACATCATCAAAAAAACGTGCACCGGGCATTTTTTTTAAATTTACTGATATTTACAAGGTTTTCAACACTTAGAATGTGGTTTACCTCCTTGTTCTATTTAGCAACTCTTGCGCAGCTATTTAGAAGCTATTTAGCAGTTAATTCAGCAGCTGTTTAGCAGCTATTTAGTAACTATTTGGCATCTATTTAAAACATATTTAGTAGCTATTTAGCAGCAATTTTGTAACTATTTAGCAGCTATTTACAAAGGAGTTAGCAGTTATTCAGCAGCCATTTTTCACCTATTTAGAATCTATTTAATAGCTTTTTAGCAGCTATTTAGAATCTATTTAGCAACTATGCAGCAGCTATTTTTCACCTATTTAGCAGCTATTGAATAGATTTTTGGCAGCTGTTTAGCAGCTATTTATCAGCTATTTAGCAGCTATTTAGCACCTATTTAGCAACTATTTGGCAACTATTTAGCAGCTATTTAGCAGCTATTTAACAGCTATTCAGCAACTATTTACTAACTATTGAGCAGCTATTTGAAAACTATTTAGCAGCTATTTAGCAGTTACTTACAACTCTTTAGCAGCTATTTAGCAGCTATTCAGCAGCTATTTAGCGGCTGTTCAACAGCTATTCAGCAGCTATTTAGTGACTATTTGGCAGCCATTAGTAGCTATTTAGGAGCTATTCAAATCTATTTAATCATTATTTGATTTCTACTTGGCAGCTATTTGGCATGTATTCAGCAACTGTTCAGCAGCTTTTTACCAGCTATTTAGAAAATATGTAGCGGCTACTTGGCACGTATTTAGCAGCCATTTAAACTTTTTTACCAGCTATTGCGAACCTATTTAATAGGAATTTTGCAGCTATGTAGCAGCTATTTAGCAGCTATGGAGCAACTATTATGCAACTACTTAATAACAATTTGACAGCTAGTTAGCAGCTATTTAGAACGTATTTGGCACCTATTTAGGAACGTAGAATATAGTTTTGGAAGCCGCCGCACCACCGGATAAGCCAAAACTCACGTTTTGGGCACCTTACACTTTTGAAATCATCTTCCCACCACGCTATGTGCGAACGGTTTGACACTTAGAATGATGCAAAAACATAATCAAAAGATCAGGCACCCGGTGTTTTTTTGAATTTACTGATATTTACAAGGTTTTCAACACTTAGAATGTGGTTTACCTCCTTGTTCTATTTAGCAACTCTTGCGCAGCTATTTAGACTTGGCATCTATTTAGAAAATATTTAGTAGCTATTTAACAGCAATTTTGTAACTATTTAGCAGCTATTTAGAAAGGAGTTAGCAGTTATTCAGCAAATATATTTCAGCTATTTAGCAGCTATTTGACAGCTTTTTAGCAGCTATTTAGCAACTATGCAACAGCTATTTAGCAGCTATTTAAGAGCTATTTAGCAACTACTCAGCAGCTGTTTAGCAGCTATTTAACAGCTATTTAGCAGCTATTTAGTCACTATTGAGCAGCTATTTAGAAACTATTTAGCAGCTATGCGCACGCTATTTAGCAGTTACTTACAACTCTTTAGCAACTATTTAGCAGCTATTCAGCAGCTCTTTAGCAGCTGTTCAAATGCTATTTAGCAGCTATTTAGTGACTATTTGGCAGCTATTAGTAGCTATTTAGGAGCTATTCAAATCTATTTAATCATTATTTGGTTTCTATTTGGCAGTTATTTAGCATGTATTCAGCAACTGTTTAGCAACTATTTACAAGCTATTTAGAAAATATTTAGCAGCTACTTAGCATGTATTTAGCAGCTATTTAAATGTTTTTTAGCAGCTATGGAGCAGCTGTTGTGCAACTACTTAATAACAATTTGACAGCTAGTTAGGAACTATTTAGAAGGCATTTGGCAGCTATTTAGGAAATATTTAGCAGCTATTGCGTAGCTACTTAGTCACAATGTGGCAGCTATGTAGAAACTATTTAGCAGCTATTTAGCACTGATTCAGCAGCTATTTAGCAGCTATTTAGCAACTATTCTGCAACTATTGAGCAACTATTGAGCAAATATTTAGCAAATATTTGGCAGCTATTTAGCAGCTATTGAATAGAGATTTAGCAGCTGTTCAACAGCTATTTAGCATCTATTTAGCAGCTATTTAGCAGCTATTTAACAGCTATTTGGCCTCTACTTATCATCTACTTAGCAATCATTTAGCAGCTATTTAGCAGCTATGTAGTAACCATTTGGCAGCTGTTTAGTGGCTACCTAGCAGCTATTCAGCTATTATTCAGCAACTATTTAGAAACAATTTAGCATCTATTTCGAAACTATTTAGCAGTTATTCAGCAACTACTCTGCAACTATTCAGCGCCTATTTAGCAAATATATGCAAATATTTAGCAGCTAAGGGGTCACCACTTTCAGCGTTACAAGCATATAACCAGTTCCCATCAATATATTTTGTAGAGACAGTTGGAACCACTTTTTTGGGGCTGCAAAAGTGTTGCAAGTCAATTTATGTGTGTTTTTGCAGGTTTCATACACTTAGCATGACCCTCGAAAGGGTAGTAAGTGGATGAACAAAAAAGTGAGAATAATCTGGAAGGGTCATCAATTTTGGGTTTCGATAGTTGTTTTTTGGGAAAATGTAATAAAAAACAGTAAAATCTAGAAATTCAAATTATGTGTATTTTTGCAGGTTTCAAACACTTAGCATGCCCACGAAACCGAGTCATTCTAAGTGTCTAAGATTATCGTTTTGGAAACCTGGACGTCATTCTAAGTTTCACTTGTCGCATATAGAAGATTATAGAAGCCTACATCATAGAATTATAGATGGGGATGGGGGGTTGGGGAGTTGAGGTGGTTTGTGCAATGCTTTTCAAACAATGATGGCATGGCACCCCCAAAAAAAGATGGTAAAAGTCTGTAAAATCCTGCATGGAGGTGGCAAATGATTTTTCTGAGTCTTTGGAAGAGTTACAGTAAGAAGAAAGATGAAGAAAGTAAGGTTGGCTATGATTTGGTATTTAACTTTCGAGCCCGGGCTTGTTCCAAGGGCGTGGATGGGTTTGAGGATGCCTGGAGGATCGGTCTTTTAAACCTAGGATATAAATGTCTCGATACGGGTTTGTCTGAACATAGGATACCCCCAAAATCCCCTTGTGTATCATCATGTTTCCCTATTAACATCTAACAGGGCAATTTGGAGGCATACCCCATTTTCAGACACGGCCATATTTGGATCTATGGGAATGAGTATGATTCACCATCAAAACATGGGCGCCTCGCCCTTCCATTCCGAAGAGGTTTGTCCAAACATGGATGATTTAACCCAATGGCTAAAACATCATGGCACACATGGCACACACACAACATCTTGATGAATCCTCTGCTTATTGTGGGTCGGATCCTCTGCTCAGTGATCCCATGTGCATCTCGTCAGGGGGTGCGCCTCGAAGATTTGCGCCCCGTCCGCTTGGAGCCGCAGCATTTGCCCAAGCCGGAGCCGTTGCCAGGGGGGTGTACCAAGGCTATTGGATCTATTGGCTGCGGTGTTTTTAACGGATTCCCAACAGCAGTGACAGTTGGATAGTTGGGTTGACCCATGGGTCTGGGAGTCAAATCTCTTTGCCGAGCCCAAAAACTGGAACGGAACCGGACCGCTGGAAGCTTGGAAGCCTGCAATCTGCTGTTGGGTTGCGACGCGGGGCTTGTCTTCATCCAAAATCAATGTTTAAAGTTGGTCAAATAATTGTTGAATAGGGTTCAACATGGCTCAAAATCAAATGATAGCAACAAAGATCCTTTTTGTCTTAGTTGGGCACCTCTCATAAGAATGTTGGTGCAAGCAAAAACGCTCAGCGGCGTGAGGCGGCGTAAGGGTTTAGGGTAAGCTTCATAGAAATTTGTTGCGGAGCAAGCTTGGACTGTGTCATAAGCAACGCCTAGGGGGACGCATGAGCAACATCCCAAAAGTTGATGTTTGTAGAGGAACTGCTCTGTATAACGGCGCCTGTACTAAAGGTTGCCAGGAGTCAAGCTGGGAAAGGAACCTGCTTGGACTCATATTGCAACATCGGGGGGGGGGGAACGAGACCCCCTGGTCATCCTGTTTCTCCAAACAAATATGTCGGCCATCATCGTGTGTTTCATATACCATATACCATCGTATACCCAGTACACACACACACACAACAGATGTCGTTTTCTGTACCCAACAGTGTTGGTGGTACAAGCCTCCAAGCAATGATTGGTTCACAATGTTAACCCCGGATTAATAACGCCAAACGGCAATTAGGGGGTGCCATTGAAGTATCAGATTATGTCGGGCGAGTACCCCCCCCCTAATCAATAGACCATGGTTCACATTATCCCATGAACATCTCATAAAATCCCATTGAACATCCCTTGTTAAAAGCATCCCATTCAACATACCATTAAAACGTAATAGCAAAATACCCTTAAATTCCATCTAACAACCCATTTAACATATCGTTTTCTCCGATTTTCCAGGAGGAGTGCCACGAGGGCCTACGCTTCACCTTGGTGCGACGCACGGGGATGCACTACCTGAGCTTGGCCAGTCGGGGCCCGGCTCGGGGTCTGGTGAGGGTCTGGTGGATCAGACCATGGGATTTTCAAGGGAATTTTGAGGCTGTTTGGAGTCAAAGTTGCAAACGTGAGGATTCAGCCTAGAAAAAATCGGATTGAACCTGTCGACTATGGGGATTTACGACCCAATCCGCTTGGCGGTGTCAAATTAAACACAATTTCATTTTCCGTCACTACAAATACGATGATCATCCACATTGACACCTTTTTTTTAGAGGCATGAAGTATGTTGAAACCGCCAACGCTGGTGAATGATTGGTTCGGATGTTTCTTCCTGCCCCTTTGATGGAGGAGTATGTTGATACCCTTGCAGGGTATCTAAGGCTGGCTAGGGGTTTGGTTATGCAACAATGATGGGAAATGTGGCTGGAGTGGTGATGTTGACATATGCTGACCTGGTTCTTTAACCGTTTGTGACATCCAGGCTCACTCCACAAACCCTAAATACCCGTGACTTTGGTTAGTTTCCCCGAGTATATCGTTTTTCAATGGTGTACTTGGATGTACATCCCAGCTACCCAGTGGATCATAAGCACATTATAACCCGGTTATATATGGGATATACCGAGTAAGATATGGTTTATTAACCACTTACTACGTATGCCTATGATGCAACCCCCAAGTAGATTAGTGAGTGTTTTTTTTGCTACAAATGGGGGATGTTTAGCTAACCCACTAAAGATCAACAACTTACTAACTGGGATGCAACCCCAAAGTATGTCACCTACAAATATTTGAGAGATGAATCACTATGAGTCAACTAAAATTGTGATGTAGCACGGTTTTTGTTTCAATAGATTTGGCACATACAGCACAGTACATATCATATAATAGTGCTATATATTATTAAAATCCCATGAAACTCCCATGAAACTCATCCCTTGCAGGCCCGCGGGCGTCCGAGGTGAGATGCTTCCCTCAAACTACCGGCCACACCTACCACTGGAAGGGGAGCCAGGCAGTGCGATCTACCTCGGTTGATGATGGGCAAAACATGGTAAAACCATGTAAAACCATCATAAACCACACAGATGGTTGATACCACCCATAAAAATGGTGAACTTGGGGATGGTTTACGATTGCTTTACTAACATTACACTATATATATATATATATTGGGGATTATCACAACCCATGAAGGGGAAATCCCGTTCTGAACCATCCAGCATACTGGCGACAATACAGGGTTTTGAACACTGTCTTGATATCATTTTCATATCATCTGGTGGTCAGCACAAGGTTTCATCTTTTTTTTGGGGGGATGGCTTCAAATCACCAAACAATTCAGTAGCAAACAGCCAAACAGTTTAAGGTGTACGGCTTGGACCGACTTCACCCAGATCATCCTCTCAGGCGCACTCTTCGCACGCCGCATCTTTGGAGACGTGGAGTTGTACCTGTCGGCGCTGCATGAAGGTGATAGTTGGGGCGGGAGTAGCGAATCTAGATTGTCCAACGTTGATCATCCGAGGTTCATCAAATTGTCTTCGGTTTTCCCAGTTTTCTTTTAGCAGTTGATATCATTCATCAAGAATCAATCAATTATGAATTACCTGAATAATTACAGTACCTTCATGTAGTAAATTAACATATATAGGTCTTGAAAACCCAGGTCTCCCGTGGAAATTCATTGATGGTGGAATTTGCATAGTTAGGTGAACATTTTGTGGAGGGTACCCTCGGGTAATCAAACATCGAAATGGTATACCATATTTGGGGAAAGAACCATGCATGTGGTGACTTTGGTTCCGGAAAACCTCCAATTACCCGGCCTGGTAAACTACCAGTTTGCGAAATTGGCCCATGAAAAAAATAGTTGATTTAGCCATGAAACTCGTGATTTTCCATAGCTATGTCCCTATTTATGGATTTCACTAGCTATGTTAGTTTACCAGGTAATTTAACATAGCTATTGAAAATGGCCATTTATAGTGAGTTTTCCCATTAAAAATGGTCATTTTCCATAGCTATGTTAGTTTACCAGAGGGTAATCCATGAATATCTCCATCAATCTCCAGCCCTCAGATCTGCACACCTTGGAAGCCATCGCAGCGCAAGGAAGCGAGGAGGTGACGAGAAAAAGCACTTGTGGGGATAATATCTGTTTATACAGTATGTACATTAAATAAATAAACACATAGATAAATAAGTAAAACACATATATACCATGATTTCATGATTATATATATATAATTATACATATATATAATCATATATATATATATGTACTGTATAATTGCAGACCTACTGTAATTACGTATATATGCATACTACTAGATACACATACAGTTATGTAATTATGAGTCGATCAGATAATTATACTTTAACTCTTTTTCGGATGTTGTAGGTAAATCTTTATGTGCATACACAGGACATTATTGAGTGTAGAGTTTAATCTCCTCAACTTAGCATCTTGCAACCAAGCAAAGGTTGATTTGAGCTCCACAAAATGCATACGTATCATTTTTTACCAGTTGAGGAAATCATCGATCATATTGGTATGCAAAGAAGTGATTTCCCCTCCTTCAATCAAATTCTGGCAGAACATCCAGTAGAAAATCGCAATCCTGGTTGGATTCCACCCTGTATCCCCATCCTGTTTTTGATAGTCTCCCAGACTTGTCTTTAAAAATCTGCAGTTCAGCCCACTTGGGAATGGTTCAATAAACAAACCCCATGGCTCAAGATTTTCCCGCCAATCCATTGAATTACCGGACTTTCCCACATGATCACATAGTTTCCTTCCCTCTGGTAATCAAACATGGCACTTGAAATGTCCCCATTTATCATCATTTACCCTCTGGTAATTTAACATAGCTATTGAACATGGCCATTATTAATGGGTAAATCCACTATAAATGGCCATTTTCAATAGCTACGTTAAATTACCAGAGGGTACAGATAAATTTCCGATTGAACACCTTCATGACATTTCATGACAGACAGTAGGATTTTCCAGCTTGCCACCCCTCGGTGACGACCGGAGTAGCGTTATTCCATGAAAAGTCCCATCATGGACCTAATGTTGATGGTGGTTTTGAACATGACTTTTATTTTCCATTTCATATATGGGATGTCATCCTTCCCATTGACTAATATATTTTTCAAGATGGTTAAAACCACCAACCAGTAATGTTGATGGTTGAATCAGTTGAATGGGAAGGATGACATCCCATATACGAAATTGAAATGGAAAATAAAATTCATGTTCAAAACCACCATCAACATCAGTTCATAATATTTTTCATGGACCAGATATCTATTAACCATCATTAACCATAAAATAACCATTAATATTAACCATTATGAACAATATATAGAAAATGTTGATGGTTGAATCAGTTGAATTCCAATGGATTTTCCTATCGTTGATGGGTCCGCGAGGCCGCCCTGGTCGAGCCGGCGCTGAAGATGCTCCGCGCGCGCCTGGCGGAGGATTTCAAGGGCGCGGAGGGGCTCAAGGAGAGCGACGATGGAGGCCTGGCAGGGAAAAAACCATGGGCCATGGGCGATCAGTACCCTCTGGTAATTTAACGTAGCTATGGAAAATCACCATTTTTAATGGGAAAATCCACTATAAATGGCCATTTTCAATAGCTATGTTAAATTACCAGAGGGTATCTAAGATATTCAAAGATTGGCCATGGCGTTGACCTTCTTTTTTGGTGTTTGGTTCAGTTTTTTGTCCATTGAGTGTGGCTTACTTTTGGGGTTGTGGCTAGAACTGCATCTTCTTTTGGATGATGTTTGATCTCCCTGTGGTCCCTTTCGATGACTGTTTGACATTTGTTGTACCAGCTAGTGCCAACCCCAACTCTGATGAATCCTGGATGTGCCAGGAATTTTCACTAGGCAAAAATGCAGGCTTTTGCCCCATTCCCATGTGCAATAGATCCCAGTTACCGGTGGCAATGGAGAATTGCAATTTACATATATATATATAATTTAATAATGTATATACGGTATATATATATATAATATACATACGGTATAAGTTTTCCTATCAAAACCTCCATTTCCAATATTTTCAATTATGTCAACGTTTGACAGGGCGGGCCTGCCACGATGCCACGTTGGGAGGTGCTGAGCAGCTGGTCTTTTACCAGAGCAGCGATGGGCAACTCATTTTCCTCGCGCCTTGGCATCACCAAAAAAGGTGGGTTTCGCTGCTGTCGGCAGGGCTCGGCGGATACATTGTGTATATACATATATGTCCGTCATTTATCTTTACATATCTATATGTATATTTACATACATATATATATATATATGTATTGATATATATATATGTATCATGTTGGTGGATTCCTATTACAAGCCACATGGTGTGGGATGATCATGCCTCCGAAGTCGCTTTGGTTACGCCTAGGAGCCGCATCTCATGAAACGGCTGCTGGCCAGCTACAGGCGCCCATGTTTTTCAGGGCCTGCCACGCCAGGTAAACATCAGTGTGTTTCATGGTTTTGGGATCAACAGTGTCCAAAAATCTCAAACAAAATTCCAATCTGCGGCTCGTTCACTACCAAAAGATGCTCATCACAGATATGGCGGTTTCCTAAAATCGGGGTACCCCCAAACCATCCAACTCATTAGAGCATTTTAACAATCGTAGTAATGACACCCATGGTGACTTGGGGATACCCCATTTTAAGAAAAACACCCAAATACTGGAGATAGAATGAATGACAATTACATATATATATAATATGTATATATATATATATGTATATATATATGTAATATATATATATATTGTTCCCGATGATAGATTATAGTACAGTATAGTAAAATATGTTTAGATCATATGAACTAAACATCATTCAATGACGCACCCCAATTTTGACAGCTCCCCCGTTCGTCGCCAGCACCTGGGGCCGGCTGCCGCCGTCGGTGCTGCTGAAGCCCTTGAAGTCCATGCGGCAGGAAGCACTGACGGATGAGATGAAGAAGAGGCGAAACTGGGGAAACCGGGATGAATCGATGTACAATGTACACGGGATTGATATATGGTAGGTGCCAAAACTATAGAACGGAAGTTGAGGAGTACGAAGGTACGGTTATTTACCGTACCTGTTGTTCCATAATTCTGTTTTCCTCGGAAGGTATGGAAAAAAACTTATCTTAACTTACTCCTATTTTTTTCATCGTTCTATAATTCTGGTTTGTTCTATAATTGTGTTTTCTCCCAATTTTCCCACATTTACCAGTTTCGTTCTATAATTATATTTTTCCGTTCTATAATTAATTTTGCGTAAACCATTCTATAATTATGTTATGTAGTGTATACAAATATGCAATAGATATCATGCCAGCCAGAAATTGTAGAACAACAATTAATTATAGAACCGAAAAATTAATTATAGAACAGGATCCGAATCCGCGCGGAATCGGGATCCGGAGGAGTACGAAGGTACGGTATTTTACCGTACTTCTGTACTCCTAATTTCGTTCTATAATTCTGGCACCTCCTGTATATACATATACTGTAATTATAGATGTTTGATATAGATTAATCATGATTAATAAGTAATTATACATATTATACATATGCGACATATTGAAACTATGATAAGACATGTATATACATATACACCAAAGATAGCGATTGTATGGGGATATGGCAGAAGGTTTAAGTGCTTGAAGCAGAAAACTGGGATCTCTGCTTTCCAAGCCACCTACTAGCTGGTATGTTCATCCGCGTGTTGTATGCAGATGTAACCAATGAAAACACATATAGAAGATACATACAATAAAGGACAGGGATATTGACAAAAACCATATACAATACATATATATATATATAAATAATATACACAATATGTATATAAATTATATATATATACATATGTATATATACAACATACATATGTATATATATACAATTATATACATATTTATTATACACACCACAAAATGTGAGCTAGCTGTCAAACGGGCTGGATTGTTACACCGACCGTTTGATGGGTATTTCAACCCGTTACATTCAATACCTGCAAGGTGGTGCTCCCCATTGCAAGTGGGCCTAAGAGCACCACCTTGTGGTGAGTTTCACTACATTTCTATTTCTGAATACAGTAAATTCTAACGACTTCACTGGGACGTCAGTAACTCAGTAGAAATGATGGTTCGTAGGGGGTAACTATACCCTGAAGGCCATATTTCAGGCTATGTAGTGAATTATGTCATATTATTGGTTGATTAAATATCGTCAAATTAGCCTTAAATCTCTATTTGTGTTGGTGAATGATGGTAAATATATTCCCAGTTTCATTCAGATATTTGGATCATTGGGTTGGTTTTTGGGACAATTTGCAGGACATCCAGCAAAATTTCATGGTAAAAACATGTAAAAACCATGGTTTCCTGTAGATGATCCCCCAATGACCAATCTATTGATTGGATGTAGCATCCCCAATTTTTTGGATGTGGTGAGGCATCGCTTTTTGCTCCACTTGCCCTCGGATGCGGCGGGGAACTTGATCTCCTTTGCCGATGGCGAGGTGGTGGCAGGCGAGTCAGCTCTCACTGGAATCATGGTTAGTAAGGGTAATCATCCCCAAATGGTCTTATTTCAGGTTAATGGACATATTACATTTTCTCGCCATTTTATGGAATGAGAAAAACATGACTTAAATCCAAAACATATTACTGGAAAGGCCCACCTATTGACTTCAGCTAGCTGCCCCCCAAAAATGAACATCATATATATATATATAGATCCACTACAATTCAAAATTTGTGGCTTAATTTCCCGTTTTTTTTTGACTTCACTCTCGAGATATCGGTTAAACCACCATTTTTATTGGGTTGCATACTAGTTTTCGTGCGTAAGAAACAATATATCAACCAACTGTTGCACCATTTTGGCCATGCTACCATGACTAGGTTCGTGGAGTTAGTGGGTAAATCATGTGGCTATTTTGGTCAGGAAAGTCCAACATGGTTATCGCGATGGAATATCAGCATAGCCAATCTGTTAGTCATTTTGAGGAACGGTCAACATAATCTGTTAGCTACCTAGATTATCAACACAAGTTTCGGCAAAATGTGGAATGGGCCTCCAATTTCTGCGACATTTGCGGATCACCGAGACGGTTTCAGACTCCCAGTCAGTTTAAGTTTTTTTTTTTTGCCACAGATTTGGGGCTGCGAATAATCACTTTTTTAATTGGGGATAATGGGATGTAGTGATATGATTCCCCCAAGCTAGTTAGCTGAGCTCACAACTAGTGTTTGGGTTTATGTTGGGGATGAATCTTAACCAACAACACCAACAAAAACAACAACAGCAACAACAACAGCAACAACAACAGCAACAACAACAACAGCAACAACAGCAACAGCAACAACAACAACAACAAAAACAAAAGCAGCAACAACAACAACAGCAGCAACAACAGCAGCAACAACAACAGCAACAACAACAACAGCAACAACAACAGCAACAACAACAGCAACAACAACAGCAACAACAACAACAGCAACAACAACAGCAACACCAACAGCAACAACAACAGCAACAACAACAGCAATAACAACAACAGCAACAACAACAACAGCAACAACAACAACAACAACAAAAACAAGGGCGAATCTTAAACATCTATTATTGCCGGGTTCACCGAAATGGGGGCAGTTAGGTGGATCCTCACGAATGATCGGTTTCATCATCCTTAAAAAGGTAGATGATGTCGCTTCAGGATGGTCATTCACAGAATGTTGCCGCAACATGACGGCCCCCATGGCAGAAATGATGGTTAACCACCAGAAAGACCAAACACATGTGGGAGATTGTGGGGGATTGTGGGGGATTCTCCCGCAAATCGCTTGTGTTTGGCATGAGCAGGGGACGAGCTGAAGAGTGGCAAGGGGGGCAGGAGCGCCCGTGCCGCCGATGAGATGAGCAGTTTCGTAGCTGAAGAATCAACAACAGCTATATGCATCTATATGCTAAAACATTCAAAAGCTATCTAACCAGCTCATGGTTTCCTAAAAACCTGGGCCTGCAAGGATTCAACCTCGTGAATTTTCGGCGGAAGTTGTTCGGCCCTACCATTTTTGCTGGATTTTAGGGTTGTTTTGAAGTGGATCCAAGTTGATACGCGGTGATGGTACCATTCTGTTTGCTTGCATCTATCCGACCGTTTGATTGATTATGATTTAGGTTATCTTATCCCGGCTATTCCCCAACCCTTCGGCACTGGATGATGCAGATTGATTTGGGTGGCCCATATCCAAAATATGATAATCTGTAAGTGTTAGTAAGTGTTATAAACCAATTTTATACAATTTTTATCCCATAATGTAATAGTATACAATAATATATATATATATATCACGATGTAAGTGTTATATAACTATATAATCCATTTTTGGTGGGTAGCAAGCATTCCGTCACCCCCTGACCTTGGCGCGTCCGGGTGAGAGGAAAGGCGAGAAGAGTCGCCGTTCGAAGCGCAGAGATGTGGATCGTGACGAAGCGCAAGGTTTGTCGATGGTGATGTACACCGACAATGTGATATCATGTGGATATAACATGATATAACCATGTGTATACATATATATATATGCAATACATATACGGTGACATGTGTACGTGCGTATATGTATATATATATACATGTATATATATATATGTATATATATATGAGTGGACTTAGACTTATATAATATATTCATTATCATACATACATATCCGATGTCCGATGTATGAAACTATTCATATGATACCAAGGGATATTCAGATGAACAAGCTCACGGGGCCCAGGTCGTGTCATCAACTCCCAAAGTTGGCCATGTGGAAGTAATCCCCCTTGGGACATACGTGCACCAACTTACCATGACTGTAACCTGAAGATGATAAAGAAATCATAAGCTTCACGACTGGCGCGTACCCTTTAGACTCCGTCAAATGCAAGGTATGTAGAATTTGGTATTCACAGTTCACCTTGTCCTTTTGTTGAATCATAACTAGACTATAATCATCAAATATGACTGTCCTGACCACCTTGTGCATGTAATTACTGTGCAATGTACCATGTCCATCCAGCAGGTCTTCCAGGGGTCCTCGCTGCCGCGGTGTGTGGTGGGGTTGGCCAATTCAATTGCCCGCTTTCGTTATTGTGTGGATATACAAATGCATATATAATCACATATATATATATGATATATATATATATACACATGTATCTACATATGATCACATGCATGTTTGTAGTTTGTCTCAGAATGCACAAGCTGTTATTTTCCATGTTTCATAAACACTTTTGAAAACAACTTTTGAACCATTGGATGTTCAGAGGTACCCAAAACAGGATCCCCGTTCTGTACACAGATTCGATGCTCTGTACAGTGCAGCTTTGTTATTGGTGATGGCTTGGAAAACTAGTGTTATTGGTGTTTGACACTGACATTTCTGTTGACAGTGGTGCCAGTTCCGAGTTTTATTTTTGGACTGGCCAAAGCAGAAACTCAGTCAATGATGTCTCAGATGCCAATGTTTTACAGCTGGCAGATTTATCATAAACAGAAACAAACCCTCTGGTAGTCAAACATGGCAAGCTGGAAAGTTCCACATTTCTGGATGATTTTCTCAGCTAATTTTCACCTCCATTCAGAAAGGGGATTTTCCAGCTAGCCAGGTTTGATGACCGGAGATTGCAATGTCATTGGCCATGTCCAGTCGGTAGCTTCACGCGTGTTCATGATTCCCTGCTATTCCACCAGGTGCCGTCGTTTCTCAATCATGTTGGTCACTCCAGAAAATCACTAAAAATCACAATGACATCTGACATTTGAAACTGATAAGATATACCAAGACGTTAGCCAATCATCAACGACCATGCTTCAGTCAACCTCTGGACCAGTTCTTGATTTCCACAAGGTGACCATGCTTGGCAGCCCCGAGACCGTTTAGAGAGTCACGAGAGCAAGGCTGGGGCTGGCTAGATTACTGGTTGATCTGAGCACGAGGGCAGCGTACATGGTGATTGCCAGATGTTTGTAGGGTATGATCTGAGACATAGTAGGCTTATTTCTGAGTTGAGAATTATCCCCCGAAAAAAAAACACACAGAAAAGTAAGATCCTGCTAAAACTGTGGCGAATTACTCTTATGTTTCTTTTCGAGGTTACTATAATTTGCTCAGGTGGAGTCTCATACTACCTACCGGAAGGGCTCCCCCAGTAACTTGCTTTGTGTTATAGCGGCATGAATCTAACCAGGACAAAGGGGCTCACATGAAGCCTAGTTAATTGAACCAACTTACCTATCATTCCCAAGCCCTTCCTGTAGTTGGCTGGGGATTCTCAGAAGACCCAGCAGTACCGGTCAGTACCGGCACGAAGAGTGTCAAGAATGGGGGTTCACCAACAAATTGGGGATATTTCACGGGGATATACCGTTTGATTTCCCTCCAGACTGCACTGAAACCCCACGAAACGAGATGGAACACCCATGGTGAAACCCAAGGAAATGATCATGGATTTTCCATGTTAAATTACTGGGGTAACTATCTTGGTGGAGGACAAAGGTTGATGGCATCTCCCAATCTAGCTGAGTCGAACTGAGAGAGAGGCCAGCACGTCTTTCAGTGGTGCGGAGGTTGGTACGGTTGGCAGTAGACCTTTGGCAGCAGAGAAGGGGATGATGAGAAAGATTGGGCGGCAACGTGGGCAATATGGTCAGCTCCAGTAACAAGCAATGCCCCAGTTTCCCAACTCTACCATTTGGGGGGTATTAAAAATTATCCCGCTAAGAGACCCCAAACAGTGTGTAGTTAGGATTCTAAAGGGAAAGGTGGAAAGGACCCAAAATCATCAGTGGCTCCAAGCTAGCAGGACAAGAGGGACCCTAGTAGTGAAAGCATGGTGTCCATTCAAGGTGGTCTCTGGAAGAAGAGATACCAGGTTAGATTCTGCAAGTTCCCCTTGTGAAGATCTCTGTAGAAGATCGTGTGCAAGATCTTCTTGGCAGGTTCTTTGTAGAAGCTGCTGTGCAAGATCCCTTTGTAAGACTATCTGTACAAGGAGTCTATAAGAGATCTCCACAGAAGATCTTTGTAAGAGATCTCAAGGTAAGATCTCTGTTCAAGCTCTCCATAAAGATCTGAGCAAGATCTCTGTTCTCTTCACCAGGTCTCTGTACCAGATCTCTAAAAGAGATATAAGAGGTCTCCTGGCAAGATCTCTGCACAAGATCTCTATAAGAGGCCTCTTGGCAAGATCCCCGTACAGATCTCTATAGGAGCTCTCTTGGCAAGATCTATGTAAGAGACCTCTTGGCAAGATCTCTGCAACAGATCTTTATGCAATGCCTCCGTATAGTTTTTTTTTTGATAGGAGGTGTCCTGGCAAGATCTCTGTACAAAATCTCTATTGAGAGGTCTCTCGGCAAGATCTCTTTATGAGATCTCTGTAGAAGCACTCTACAAGAGCCCTCTTGGCAAGATCTATGTAAGAGATCTCTTGGCAAGATCTCTGCAGATCTCTATGAAATGTCTCTATACATGATCTCCAAAAGGGGTGTCCTGGCAAGATCTCCGTACAAGATCTTTATAGGAGGTCTCTTGGCAAGATCTCTTGAAGAGATCTCTGTGCACGCTCTCTATAAAGAGCTTTGTTGGCAAGATCTCTGTAAGAGACCTCTTGGCAAGATTTCTGTACAAGACCTCTATTGTAGTACAAGACCTCTACAAGAGCTTTCTGTACAAGATCGCTTTCCGTGGCAAGATCACCACGCAAGATCTCTACAAAACACCTCCTTGTCAAGATCTCTGCGCAAGATCTCATGAGCTCTGTGCCACAACGAGAGTGATCTGACATGCCCAAAGTGCCGAGAGGGTTGCGCGAGGGATCTCATTCGCACGGCGCCACAACGAGAGCGATCTGAGAGGCCCAAAGTGACGAGAGGGTTGCGCGAGCACATGCTAAATTAAAGATTTTCACAAAACATTGCGCGCACCGCGGAAAACGAACATGGAAAAAGTCAAGAGCGACCTTGGTCTCCGCCGCCTTTTTTTTGTCGAGGCCTACACAAAAATATTGCGCCTGCCACGAAAAATGAGCTCAAGGCATCCGAAGTCCTGCGCCTGCCACACGGAATCATCATCATGTTCCAAATCAAATTCGACGACAACTTCACAAAAACGCGATTTTCGACCCTTTCAAAACGTCGCCCAAGTTCACCAAATACTGCGCCTGCACCGAAAAATGACATCCAAAAGCACCTCTCATTTTTATTCACGCTTGCCAAAGTTTTAGCAACGTGCAGAAAGTGCCACGCCTGCCATGCGGATGAGAAAGTGACCGATGTCTTGCACCTGTCACGCAAAACGACGTTTTAGATATCAAAAAATCCCGAACGTGCGACGCGTGCCACACGAAATGGATTTAGTTCAAAAAACCCGTATGGCGCGCTAGTAAAACGAACCATTCGGAAGAGAGGTCTGCGGGCAACCGTTTCGTGCAAGACGTCGAAAACGGAAGATGAGGGAACTTTTGTGCTGTAAGGGTCATCAAAAATCCCGCGCACGCATGATACACTGTTGAATGAACAGCGCCCCTGAACACCCACCGTAAGAACCCTTCAGTGTGGCCGCACTGTTTGGGGAACCAGTGAAACTCAAACGACCCAAAACTGTTATGATGTTTATCTATCAGCAAGTCGTTGGGACAAATGCGTCCCATTTTAGGGGTAGCTCATTTTGGGGCCATAACTGACCTTGCCAAAGCAAGGAGGAATGAATATTGCCCACAAACGGGGGACTAGTTTTGGGTAGGAACCTGCCGTCATAGCCTACATTTACCAGGGATGTGGTGATGGCTCGCATCAAACACAAATGGCTGATAAGTAAAAAACCTTTGAATTCTTGGAAGGCAACCGCTGCGAGCAACAGAACTGTCGCCCAGCTTATTGGGACTCCTCTAGCCTTTGTGGGAGTAAGTCGGAAAAAGGCCAAAACATGCCGCTTCTGGAGCGTTGGATAGGTTTCCTCAGTTTCTTGACCTTTGACTGCTAGGGAATGCATTGCAAAAACTCTGAGCGTTTATCATCATCCCATGACTTTCCTGGCACTAACATATTCCCATTATAATGACATATAAAAATGACATGGGAAAATAATTTCAATAGTGAACTGTACTAATCACAATGAGCAAAAATGTTCCAGGACTTTTCTTCCCCCAGGTGGCCTAGGTGGCCCCAGCCCGTTCGCGTCTCCGGTGCTGGCACCAAAATCAAGCCCTGAAGGCAGTCCGGCCTCCGGGGCGAATTGGGGTGATTTTGCATTTCAAAAACAACCTTACTGGAACATACTGCAACTTTTTTTTGAACAATTGAATTTTATATTGAATTAGCCAATGATTGGTTAATTATATATCTAGTTATATAATGTTATGTGTACATATATATATACTATTACCCAAGTAATGTGAGCTAATTGATCAATTGGATGAATACACTCTTTGCATGTAACGTGAAAAATCATGGATGGACCATCCATACTTTTCATGGAAACATATTGTGGTACAATTATTGAACTAAATCGGCATTATTTTCTCATTGCTTGATTAAATTACCGGAGAGTAGGTATTTTTGATCAATCTAACATGCATGAATTGATTAGTTCTTTTAGTTCGATGATTGGATGTGGAACCAACAACAACTGGGGCACCAGAAAGGTGAGATTTTAAAAACAAGCAGTTTGTTCCAACGGGGAACACAATAACTTTCCTTAGGATTTTCGGATACGCAGCTTTCAGACAAACCACTAGTTTTACATGGACAGCTCCTTTTGCTTGGCCTTAACTTTAAACCAGCAGTGGTTAAATTTGAAGACGTCGTATCCCAGGACCCCCAATCCAGATGTATGCTACAGCTTCAGCTCAGACAGCCAACTGGGGAAAAAACCCGTGTGTTTCAGACAAGAATCACCACATCAATCCACATCACTTTTTCAACCCCAAATCACATTGTGGGGAAAACCAAAACCAAATTCACTTTTTCAATCCCTCAAAAATAACTCCTCATGAAATTGATCCCCAAACCCACTGGTCAATCATCATTTTTTCATTATCACCATTCTGTTTGGTTAAATCACGTTAAATCACCATTTTGGAAGGTGAACCCCTGACAAAACTGGCCAGCTGAACTTGAGGCACCCAGGCGCCAGCTGAGGAGGTGAACAAAAAGGAGCTACCGCACGGTTCCCATTTCCGGGCTCAACAGAAACACATAAATTAACCCACAGAACATGAGGATTTCACGTGCAAACATAGGGGGTTTCAAACATATGATATAAATCTAAATTGTTATAAAACAACATGGGGAATTCACCCAGCATCCAGCAACAAAAACGGTGTTAAAGACAGGTGGCTTCAAACCTGGGGGCGATTCAGATGGGCCCATTGGACTGGCATGAACACACACATGCTGCATCTACCCGCTATGTTGGTGTTCAACAGGGTTATGAGATGTTATGAGGCTTTTGAACAATAGCCATATGATTGTTATGACTTGGACTTCTGGTGAATTGTGTGGGTGTTTTTCACGGTTTTTCTATATAATCTATTTGGGGAAGATGACAAACGAAGGTCCCTAGACTCAACGTAGCCGCCGTAGCCATGGACCACGATAAAAATAATGAAAGCATGTATATGGTTTACCATGGTCTGCCTGTTAAAACATGGACAATTTTCATGGCCAACCAGAGGGTATGTTGGAAGCGCAAGGCATGTTCGCTACGATTTGATCGCCGCAGGAAGCCCAAGATGCCTGGTCTGGAGATGAGACTTGTGACCAGAATCTGCAGGGCTCGGCAGATGCCTGAAGTTGGGCTTGCGGTGGTGCCAACTTTTCAGGAAGCATCTTGTTGGAATTGCGGGTTTCTTCATTTTTCTTAACATGTGATGTGATATGTGTGGATCATTATGGAGGTTTCCTGAAATGCCGGTACCCCCAGTAACCAGCCAGCTATTGGGGGTACCCCCATGTATGGAACCCTACCATTTGGTGATTTTCAGGTCTCCGGTACCAACCCCCAACCGCCATCCGCCGGTCATGACAGAGCTACGACGCCTCTTGTGCGGTGACCGGAGAAAAAGAGAGTGGGGAGATTCGATTCGCCCGTGGTTTGGAAGAGGAGTCTGAAGATTGACCGTAAGAGGTCGTTTCAAATATAATTATTATATGTATATATATACTTAAATATTTATATCTATACATAAATAATATGTATATATATATATGTTATGTCCGCCCATTTATCTCTAATGGTCTCTAATGACGTTGAATACTTTAGGATGATCATCTACCACTGACATATTTTTTTGTTCAGGGTTGAAACCACCAACAGCCTCAAGTGATTATTCAAGGCCCAGACACCGAATGCCTTGATGAATGTCGAGGTTTTGATTTATCGCAATATTAGATTGGGATTTCGCCTATCGCGTTTTGTTTTTTTTGGGGGGGGCTTCAACGATTTTTGTGGCAGTTGATAACTCAAACTCTGCGCCAGGGAAGCTACGAGCTGTCCTCTCCCGGCGCCACTTTGAAAGGCCGTAGAGCCTACTGGGACTGGGGGGTACCCGAAATGGTAAGCTGACAGCTCTTTGCCTGGGAATTTCATGTGATGATGTAGATGATTATTATATGATTATTCTATGAGTAGGATTTTATAATTCAGCCATTTCCAAGATGATGTATGTAATTCCTGTTTGACTTGGTGAGCATTTGCATTGATGTTATTTGCCCATTGGTTTTTGAACCACGGCCGAACATGAGACACACTTACCCAGAATTTCATGCAGTTGAAAGCGTTGAAACCCAAGTAGTTGGTGACCCAAACCTGACCGGCAATCCCCATCCTCGATTTGCTGAAGATGATGTTTAGCAATTTCACTGGTACCTCCATCATTTGGGGAATCTGTATATATATATATATATATCATTATATTATATAATCTATAATACAATATATATATACACACATATATATATATACACATGATTATATATGTAGGGAATACCCTCGGGTAAACTAACATAACCATGTACATCACCATGTTTCAAAACGGTAAATCATCCAACTAAGTGCTTCCATGGCTTCGCTATGTTGATGCCCTTGGTGCAGGTGACTACAGTTTTGACCCGGCCTCGGGCCGCATCAGCAGTGGTGGTGAGGTGACGCTCGGTGCTGCTTTCCCCATGAGGATGGTGGAGTTATCCCCCGATAGTAGGGATAACATGGGATAAACATGGATAAATAGTTTTGTAATGATTTATATAGAGAATCTCTAAAGATGACGGTGGGATGACAATATGCCATTTTTACTCCGCACTTTCGTAGCCAATCCCAAGAGAGTACATGAACCAGAGAAAAGGTTGGCCGCATGGTGATGATTAGATTTCAGATTGCTGTATATCATATCTCATCTCGTTGCTTCTCATCTTATCTCATCTCGTCTCGTCTCATCTTATCTCATCTCATCTCTTATATGTAGTCGTATATATAAATAGATGTATCTTAGATGTATATATATAAGCACTCTATATATAGTATATATGTATATATATATATACATTTACACATATATATATACACATTATTGTTGAGTAATATATTATTATATATATATGTATATAATATATATATACAGTATATATCTACACATATACGGACAAAACACAACAGAAAAGCCCAACGACCAGTCGCGCTGGAGCAGGTGGTTGGACTCTTCGGCGCAGAAGCGATCAGTGACAGGTGGGGCGTGGTGGGGCCTGGATGGGCCAGGATGGTTATTTAATGGGATATTAATGGGGATATGATCAATGGGATGGGATATTAATGATTATTAATGTGGATAAAACAATGTCATTTTTACCACCCATGACTGGGAATGGTAAACATACCACCTATTAAAATGGTGATGACTGGGGGATGGTTTATGACATTGTTTTACCCACATTGTTCCGAAACCATCAAAAGTTAGACCGTTTTAGTATTGAAACCTATGGTTCATCATGGTTCATCGATTCATAAAGTAATGAAATTATGCCAAATTATCCTTTGGCCAGAGCTACAATCATCACCAACATATCATTTCGCCATGATAGTTTTTTAATATGGGATTTATATGTCTCCATTTACAAGTTCAGTTTTTATGTTTATTCTGCTGACCCATTTGATTGAGAAACCAACCATTATTCCTAGGTTGATGTCAAGGAACTCTGAGAGCCGGGTACCCAAAAAGCTATGGTTTAATGTTTTTGTCCTATGAAAATGGTATGATATGGAGTACAGCCATTGTTTTCAGACACATTTGGAATTTCTGTAATCCAATCCCTCTGTTTTTCAGGAACCTCAAAATGGAGAGATCCCGTTCCTCACCAGTGTTTAACCTTGGGCTTGTTCATGATCAGCGAGTAGTGATTAGTGAATAGTAGTTGGATAATCACTACTACTAATCACTATAATGGAACTATTAGTTGGATAATCCTATTCTATTATAACCGTATTGGAATATGATGTTGGATTCTGCGGAATATGATGTAGTTGTAGGCCACTTCATTTTTCTCGTCCAACATCATCAAACTGCATGAGGGTCCCACTGCTCGCAGTGGATGTGCACCCCAGGAGTTACGGGAGTCACGGGTTGATAAGCCATAAATCTAGCTGGGTTAAGGTATAAAAAATGGATAAAATTGGTGAAATTTGACCATTGTTGGACCATTTTTGCAGATTTCAAATTGGTTCCAGATGATCTCCAGCATAACATGCCTTGGGAGCCTTGGGACCCTGGCGCTGCTTTTGGCAATGATATAACCCATGACATATAATATAGATTAATATAGCATATGTATAAAATGTATATACACATTCACATTATGATTCATTTATATAGATGATCCAATGTAGATGTATTGTAACTATGATTATTATTGTCATGTTTTTAAGTGATCGCTTTTCTATACATCAACGCCAGCCCCTTGGAGCTGGAGAAGCTGCCGGTCATGTCCAGTAGCCTTTCGTCACTTGGCAGCGGCCATGACTCATGGCGAGGATCCTGTAGTTCTCTCCCAAAATAGCTGGGATTGATGGAGGATTTATTGATGATTTATGGGCAAGTATGGTAATTCATAGGCTTTTGATCCAGACCCATATGAAAAACAGGGGTTTTCGATTGATTCTAATAACCTTGTATAGGACACTATCGGCAACGCAGGAATTCTTATACAGTGCTGGGACTGTTTTCGTAGGTAGAACGAAGCGCCGGCCGGAATAGAGTCCTTACATGTTCTTACCACTTCAAACATGTGTTTTTGTCCAATCAGTAAGTCAGTCCCGTTGCATTAATATCCCAGAACTCGTCACACCGTGGTTTGGCATGTTGATGTTTTTGTTTTTTGACTGTTCTTCAACCCAACAAAAATCAACGTCCTCTTGCAGAGTAAACATTCCAAAGTTAGCCATGAATCACTGCAGTATGATTTCTGCAATTTTGATTCTTGTTGGAGGATCATCCCACGTAGTATGTAAGTGGTTTGTATCTGGGGTTAGTTCACCCATTTTATTTTTAAATTCGAGAAACCCAGTTTTTGTTGGACGAGTTGCCAACGAGCCGGCAACGAGGCACGTGACCGTCGTCAGCGGAGAAATCATGGAGGAGATTCAGAGTCGCAGCCGCAAGCGGGGAAGGGACTTGAAACCTGGAAAATGTTTGGACTATTCGCAGCAATTGGGGTTGAAGTTCGGCATCTAGTAAAAAAAAGGGAAAAAACACATCGGACATTTTAAATGATAGAGATCAGGAGTTGGAGCTGAAGATGTGATTCTTCATTGATGTTCACCGTATTTCCACCATTTTGGGGAGTTAACCCACAGTTCAATTAGACTCTTGCAGTGCAAACATATGGCCAAAAACAGACACATCCCTTGGCCGAAAAAAATGCAAAATCACCCAAAACAAACCATGTTCCGGAAATGGTAATGATAGCTAGTTAATGATAGTTAATTTTCCAATAGGTATAATTAATATTAGTTAATGATATATTCTAAATTATATTGTATTATATTATGATGCTTAACGGTTTAACCAACGGATTTAATGAGAGTTAATGACAGTTAATCCTCCAAACCATGATAGTTCATCATCCAAGTGGATGTTGATTGATTGTTGATTTAACTCTCCGGCGGTTTGGATTTTGCATGAACAGCGGCCAAAAATTCCCAGCCGTACATTATCTGGTCTCTGGCTATGTTTTGTTTTTTCAATTGGTTTTCATGGTGGAAAATAACTGAAAAATCACCGAATCTTAGTAGCTCGAAAAAACACACAGTTCGGCATTTTACTGACCAGTCGCACCAGAAATGACAGAATTGAGATGAATTAAACTGGTACCGTATATATATATATACACATTATGCTGTATACAAGTTGTATAGTATACATATCCATATCCATATCCATATACATATACATATACATATTGATATCCATGCATGGGGAAACACACCAAAATTATGGTCTAAAACTAAAACATTGAGGTGTTGTGACTTGCACTCCGCTGATCTAACATGACAATAAACATACCATATATCATTATCATGTATTATCATTATCATGTATTATCATTATGGTATATCATTCATTATTATCGTTATCATTATCATGATCATTATCATGATCATTATCATGATCATGTGACTGTTTTACTGATGTTTGAGGAGTGAATGCTTGAGTGGCCGTGGTTTCCATCTCAAGCTTCTAAATGCAGCAGTATCTTGTGGTGGCCCTCACCTGGTTTCTCACTCTCTTTGATCGCCATAGC